TGTAGACCTCACCTCTCACCAAGAAATATTATTTTTACACTAGTGAGAGACCACTACAGAAGCCCACATTTGGTCAACATGCAGATAACAATTGACAGTGAGGTCCCAATCCCAACTGATGCACTACCACACGGCTCCTACACCTGATGCTCCGGGAATACCTCAGAAGAGGCAGAAAGACCCTAAGAGCCATGGCATTTGCTGTGGGACGCTATCTTCTAAATACGACACTGAACTCAAATACTGTGGTCACCTAAAGAACTGCACGGTGACAATACTGGTTGACATGCCAAAGTGGATGGGAGGAAATCTCTCAAGGCTCCACTTGTAGAGGAAGACAGAGGCAATTAATGGCTGTTCAGAGAGAATCAGTCTTCTCAAGAGTAGAAACTGAAAACGTACGCAGTCCTAAGCAGTCAGTCCTAAACACATGTCCATACAAGAACTCCAAATGGACTCACCAAGCTGTGTTTATGGAAGCATATGTAATAATGATAATTAAAGAAGAGGTCATGAATTTGGGAGGAAGTGGTAGTGGAGGCATGGGAGGAGTTGGAAGGCTAGAGGGAAGAGTAAAAACAATGTAAACAATACTCAGTACAAATTTTCAAAAAAAATTTAAATAAAACACACACACACACACACACACACACACACACACACACACACACACACACACAGAGCACGGGGATGGGGCTGGCAAGTTGACTCAGCAGGTAGAAGTACTTTCTAACAAGCCTTTTGACCCATGTTAGACTCTAGGTAGGACCCACATGGCAGAAGAGAACCCACTCTGTAATGTGTCCTCTGTCTGACCTTCACATGTATCATGGCACATGCACTCTCCCCTCCCCCACCCCACATAAAGATACAGCCACAGGCAAGAACTTTATGAAAAGGACTCACTCCAATAGCTCAGAATAATCCCAAGAACTGACCAATGAACTCTAAGAAATTAAAATGCTTCTGTTCAGTAAAGGAACCCTCACTGGAGTGAAATGACAGCACACAAAATGAGAAAATCCTTGCCAACTACAGCAATGACAGGGGTTAATGTTTACAATTTATAAGGGATTCAAAATAAACAAGAAACCCCCAAATCACTTGATATATGGACAAATGCATTGAACATACAGTTCTCAAAAGAAGAAATAAAAATGGCAATCAGTGTGTAAAAAACTATTCAACACCCTCAGTCATCAGAGAAAGGCAAGCTGAAGCTTCCTTAAGATTTCATCTCACCCCAGTCAGAATGGCCATCACCAAGAGAAAATGGCAGCAACATGGAACCCTTTCACACTGCCAGCGGGAATGAAAACAGTGCACCCACTGTGGAAAGCAGCATGGATGCTCTGAAAAATTAAAACCCACTCTACCACTCCTGTGTAGCAGGCTTTTTCTTCTGGGTCACAACCAGCTCCAAAATCAACACAGATTTATTCTTAGTTATAAATGCTCGGCCTTATCTTATGCTTGTTTCTTGCTAGCTCTTATAACTTAACCTGTTTCTCTGCATCTACGTCTCAACTCAGGGCTTTTTACCTTTCTCTCTGTATGTCTCACTTTCCTGCTGCCTCATGCCTGGCTGACTGGCTGGCGGCTGCCTAGCTTCTGGTCCCAGGCATGTCCCATCTTTCTCCCTCATTCTCTCCTCTTTCTCTCTTGAGCCTAGATTTCTCCTCCAATATATTCTTTTTGTCTGCCAGCCCTGCCTATCCTTTCTATTCCTGGCTACTGACTATTCAGCTCTTTTTCAGACCAATCAGGTGCCTTAGGCAGGCAAGGTGAAATACCAACACATCATTACATAGTTAACAAAGACAGCAGAAACAAATGTAATATACCTTCACATAGTTAAATATTCCACAGCACAAACAAATGCAACACATCTTTGCCCAGTTAAAATGATATTCCACAACACTCCTTTGTGTATACATGAAGGAATCTAAGCAAACCACAGAGATACCTGCACATCCACAATACTGAAGCAGTGGTCATGATAGTAAGATGTGGAACCAGGCTGCATCCCCACAGCAGATAGATGGGTAAAGAAAATGTGGTATATATATTCATAACGCATTGTGCTATTTGTTGTAAAACAGATGGGAGTGGATAGCATCATATAAGTGAAATAAGCCACGTTGAAAAAGGAAAATACTACACTTCCTGTGATATGTGAAATCTAAACTTAAATAATATAAAATTAATGTATAATTAGTAGCATATGGAAGGAAGGGGTCTAAAAATAGGAAGGTGGAAGACGACGGGATAAAGCGGAAGAGAAAAATGAAACACAAATGGATTATTGATTTAATAAAATCCAAAAGCATAAACACTAGAACTTTGTAAGTATGGGACAGTTTTCATAGATCTGCACAATAATTTCAAATAAGCATGCTATTTTACATGATAGTCTTTCTAAAACTTTATCTCAAAATAACTATAGGTCCCCGGAATGTTACAAAATAGTACACAGAATGTCCTGCTGTTCAACCCAGTGAACTGTCACAATCACCACCCAGGTTACAGAACTCAACTGATTTCTTTCTAACCTTCATTTATGTGTGTGTGTGTGGGGGGGGGGGGTGCATACAGAGTTGTGTGTGATTTCATCCCACACGAGCATCTGTGTGTCCTGGATAAGCAGCCTGCGGAGCTGGTCCACCAGTATTTACCCCTTTTTATACTTGCTCCTCCAATCCCAGCCATTCCCTGACAGGCTCATCCACTGCCTTCCTGCTTCTTTCCTTTCAAAACTGGTGAAGATCTCAATAGGGCAACCTTTTTCAGGTAATAATTCATATAATTCTTTCTACAACGCTTTACTGAAGTGTGTGTGACATACAGCGAGCCGCATAAACACAGCGCACAAGCTGGTAGCTTCTGACATTTGCATAAGCCCTTGAACCACTACAAAGACTGAGTATTTCTTTTTTCTTTTTCTTTTTTTTTTTTTAAAAAGATTTATTTATTTATTGATACATGTATCCCTGCTGACCAGAAGAGGGCACCAGATCTCATTTCAGGTGGTTGTGAGCCACCATGTGGGTGCTGGGAATTGAACTCCAGACCTTTGGAAGAGCAGCCAGTGCTCTCAACCGCTGAGCCATCTCTCCAGACCCCCCCCCCTTTTTTTTTGACTGAGTATTTCTAGTAGATGTTGTTTGGTAGTTGATTCACTCTTGAGTTCCCTATTCCACTAGCAAAAATAGTTACTGAAAATATATAAATACATCTTTGGAAAATAGGGTATGGTAGTTATTGTTTTTAAATATCAAGCAAAGGTTGATGCTTTGACAAGTTTTCTCTAAAAATATTTCCAAATGTTCAATTTGTGGGACTTATTGGATTAATATATTTCTATTTTAACAGCAATCTTTCTTTAGCTAAGCATTTCAATTCAAATTTTATGATTAAGCATAAATTTTGAATTTTAGAATATCAAAGTTTGATTTGGAAAAGTCAGTTGTTATTAAACCAACTTTCCTATAATCCAAACAAAATTATGTGGCAGCCAGTTTTTATTATTGGTGAGATATTAAATTCCCTGTTACTCTAGTCAAACATGTTTCTAGATTGTTACTGCATTCTAAATTATTATATAAGTCTGAAATTTCCCTAAGATTCAATGTGTGTCTTCACTTACCGATTCTTGTTTAAGAAAATTTGATGATTCTTCACTTAATAAAGGTCTTGAGGCAAGAATGTCTATTTTGCCTTCCAGCCTTCCCTCCATGGTTTTAATAGCATTCAAAAGAGTCTTTAGAGAGATTCTGGAGTCTCCAATCTCCTGAGACACTCTCACAGAAGGCAAGGCAGGTGCAAAGGTCACTCGGCGTGTGGAGTTCGGACTAACAGTGGGCAAGGCAACTGCTGGAGCTTTCTCCTTTCCACTACCGACATAAAGCCGGGACGCTTCGAGGGATTTAGAAGACGTGGCCCTCTCTGGAGATTTCCTTCTTCTTGGAGGCATCTCCAGTCACCAAGTAAGTCTAAGACTTACTGTTCAAGGAGTACCCACTTCAGTAAGAGAAATGGCAGAATGTTCTGGAAGAAGCTGGAAAATGTATTCCTTGTTGTCAAGAATGAAAAGATCACACTGTTGTCTATGACCCAGTGAGGAAGCAGGCTACAGCCCAAGCTTCCTCAGGAGAGTATATCTGATGAGGGCCTCTTTACAACTTTGTGACCTCACCATTCATCAGTAGAGTCTGTTAGTTAGAACTCCATGGGCATTCCACTTGAAGACATTCTAGCACTATGGATATTGGCGGTTTATGTACATAAAAGTCACAGACAGCACTTTCTGTTTATACTCAGAGTCCAAGATTTTTACAATGACCTAATTTGCATATATAGTAGACTTGTAATCACTGAACTGAATTGTTTTCTTTCAGTAAAATGTTCATGGGTTAAGTTCTTTATTAAGTGCTTTCTATATTTTGCTTGCTTAACTTTACTCTTTTCCTGAAATGTTACGTGACCTACATCAGGTATCAGCATCTATAGGCACCACACTGACACGAAAGCCCCTTTACTACCGATACCTCTTTCAGGTGAGCGTCTGTCTGTTGCAGATATGCCTTTCTAGCATTCAGTTCTGAGTTTGCCTACAATTCAAAAAGCAAAGATACTTGTTCTTTCCTCACATTTGCCAAAAAATGTTAAGGTTTGAACTAAAAAAGCTATTAGCTTATGAAACCCATGAACATATTTCATTCACAGCAATGATGCTCCTTATGAGTGGTCATGGAAAACCTTTTCTTCTGAAAGGCAAAGCTTTCTATTCTGCAACAAATTTCAACGAATGCTACATAAACACCAAGCATGTTGATCATTCTAGTTCTGTCTCAGCAGCAGCTTAAGCTGAGTCAAGAGAGAGCATTCACCTTCCCAGGGCTGTCTGGGGAGGTGGGGAGAAAGACATCAAGCCACACCGTAAGCCCTGCAGCACTGTACCAGCTCCTGACGGCAACCTGCTCTCTGCAGCGACATCGTACCTGAGCATGTCTGACCTTTAAATCCTTGTTCAGTCTGTGCAGATGGTCATTCTGCAGCCTGGTCTCACTGAAAGAGTGCAGCTGTTCTTCCAGCTGTTTAACTTTTGTCTGCAAGGAAAACAGAACAAGAATGAGTAAGCCTGATCTCCAAGGGAAGAAGAGGTCATAAATTAAAAAAAAATAAAGAACATTTGAAACTTGAAAAAAAAATCCTCCACTTTTCTAACCTTGCAAACAATTCTGTCTTCACTGGATGCCACAGGCAGGCTACAAATGTGTAAATGTGCCAAGACAACACTTTGATTTCTATGGCCTAAGGAAAATCCAAATGGACATGATCATGAATAAAACAGTGAGATGTCCTGTGGATAAATCTCAATTTTGAGTGAATTGTAGTACCTGGCATTCAAAACCTTTTCTTAATGTGGATAATTAGAAGTGTCAATCTACAGAAAAAAAAAAAAAAAAAGACAGTCTTGTTTTGCTCAAAGAAAACTAGGAAAGTTGAAAAGGTAGAATTCTTACATTGCTGTGGGATGTTCTGTATGGCAAATAAATGTGTTGTTCTGATTGGTTAATAAGTAAAACACTGATTGGCCAGTAGTAGCTAGGCAGGAAGTATAGGCGGGACAAGCAGAGAGGAGAATTGAGAGAACAGGAAGGCAGAGGGGGAGACTGCTGGAGCTGCCAGGACAAGGAAGATGTAAGGTACCAGTAAGCCACGAGCCACATGGCAAAGTATAGATTAATAGAAATGGGCTGAATATAAGAGTAAGAGCTAGACAATGATAGGCCTGAGCTAATGGCCAAGCAGTTTAAATAATGTAAGCGTCTGTATGTTTATTTTATAAGTGGGCTAAGGGACTGCCAGGGCTTGTCGGGACCTGGAGAGAAAACTCTCAAGCTACATTACATGTTGAGTTGTATATGAAAATTAACTCCTAAAGCCAGGCATGGTGGTACACACCTGTTATCTGAGTCCTAGTCCTTAGGAAGCAGAAGCAGAAGCAGAAGGGTTACTATGAGTTCTTAAATAAAGTGACTATTTTATGGGATAAAATCACTTATCCTCCCTCCTGAGGACTTGTGGTATTGTAGCCCCTGAGAACAATGGAATGCCCTGGAACTTACTAGCAGCATACTGTCAGCGAAGGGACTTGGCCTTCTGAGTTTCTCATTTGTAGACATTCTTACTCAGAGTATTTAAAATCGGAGCACAGAAGAGCGGTCAGAAGCAAATGAACCCTGCCCCTCAGGTCTGGCGGTTTGTTGAGCCTTAGAGCCACACTATGGTTAGCTCATCAGTGACTTTGGGAACATCAGGATCTTAGGCCATGCTCACACGCTCACACTGTTTTCATTGGTCTGAATTTATGTTATATATAAAATCAGTGTTTATTATATATTATATACTCCAGTATATATATAACTACCTATAACTCTAATATATTAATACTGTATAAATTATGAGACAGTCAAAACATTAAAAGAGCCCTCTTTTAACCTGTTTACATTGTAACAAATATTCATTCATTACATTTCCCAGGTATCTTTAGTATATATAATAACACTGAAATGAAGTAGGACACATCTATAGTGGTAGTTCACTCAGAACTTGAAAAGAGCTGTAGAGTTAGAAATACCCTTTTTTAATTACCATTTGGGTTGTGGCACTGAGGACAGAAGCTAGGATCATTCCATAAGCATAACTCATGTCAACTGCCTTTCAGTTTGCCTTTCAGCTCGGGGCCTCCTTTTTTCTGCTAACTTGAATGTGAGGGAAAGATGAATATTGACATGCTTGGCAAGCCTACAGTGAGATTACTCAGCAGATCAGCTGTCCAGTCCTAAGCCCAAACGGACTTATTGCACACTGTTAACCCAGCTGTCCTCACCTATGACTACACAAGTCATCTGGGGAGCATATTTCATTATTGTTGAGAGGATCTTAAAGCTCCAGCTGGCCTCACCATTCTCCTGCTTCTTCCCCTTGAGGGCTTGGATTATAGGTGTACTCCATCATGCCTGGTTTCAACTGGGGAGATTTACAAAGTATTGAGTCTAAGACTTAAATTCTGATTTAATTGCTTGTGTTGGGATTACAATCATAGTAGGGAATTTTTATCTTATGTATTATGAAAAAATGTAAGCATGCAGAAAACTTGAAAGATCTTTCTGTGACTGTAATCCCAACACAAGCAATTAAATCAGAATTTAAGTCCACCATCCTAAATTCTACCTATTTTTTTATTTATCACATATCATTTTCTCTAAGTGTCCTCCAATCTACTTTTTCTAATTGGATGTACTTCAAAAAGAATAGTAAATATACATTTCCTATTGCTGGGATTTAAAAAAATCCCATCTGGTTCTAATGTGCAACTAAGATTTAGGACTCCCAAACTAGTGGTTAGTGTTTCCACTGGGGTTGGTCTAAGTGGGGCTCAGCAATATCAGAGGCAAGCTTCCTGCTGTGTGGGCACCATGGGGACAAAACTGTTATTCTTCACAGTCACTCACAATCTTGCCACACCACTCAGTACAACAGAACCAATCTGTGGCCTCGCAAGGCCAGTTTTCAAAGAGTGTGTTACAAATAGTCACCAAACTCACAACACCTAGGCTCTCTATATTCTCACAGAACAGCCATGCATAAACGGCTGTACTAAGGCTTCAGACAGTCACAGAATGGACTGTGGCTTCACCATTATACTACTGATCTATGAACAGAAGTCACTTGAACGATAATGAAGAAATAAACTTAGGGAGGTTCAGAGGCTACAGAGTTAGTAAATGACAGAGCTAGATTTTTCTGAAGTTCAACAATCCTTAATCCAACAATCACTATTTTAAACATCAGACAAAAATCTAAAGATAAATCTCATACCTGGAGTTTCCCCTTTTCATAGGCCAGTTTATTTTTACTCTCAGTAATTTTTTCCAAGGCCTTTTCCACTTTCTGCTGAGCAAACTGATAAAGCAAACACACACATCATTATCTTTCACAGGCAAAATGACGCCCCTTCCCTTTTAAAACAGGCATTAATACCCTTGCTGTTTGTAGAGAATACCACACTACTTGCAACTTACTCTCCTCTAAGACCTTCCCTAGACAATATATCATTTTGCTGACAGGCAGCATGTACAGAGCCAGCTACTGAAGACACAGGCCTTAAGAGTCCAGAGTGTCTTGTTATTTGTACTGCATTCTTGTTTGTTTGTTGTTGATTTGCTAGTTAAACCGTCGTGGATATGTTCCAACCCAGATCAGGTGAGCTGTAATAGTGATTTTAAGTTGTTTGAAGAAGACCATTCAGTGTTTTAGGAACAATGACCACACCTCTGGCTGAAGAAGAACCTATAGTTATCACAGCTTTAAAAATGCCTCTCAGAAGTTGAAGGTAAGTACCTATTGCTGAAGACACCACATACTTTGGACACACACTGGAAAGATTCAAGCTGGATCTAAACAAGAAAGCCCCCTTCCTGTGGCTTAGCTTCATGAGAGCACCAGAAAGTACTATGTAAGCTGCCAAGAAAGGGGAGCAATAAACAGTCATATCCATGTGTGTGTGATGTCCGTGAATATAAAAACAAAAAGCATGGAAAGATATCCCTAAAAGTAAAATAGGGGCACACGTATCTTAGTGGTAACCAACAGCAGTCTGCTGGATTCATAGCCCACTAATGGGATGAAAATCATGCCTGGTACTAGAAACCTAGTCAGCCAACAGACCTACTGAGGTCATGGGTCTTAGAAGCATCACCACCACTTTCCTAGACCAGCATGATTCCTAACTACATTCTAAAACTTATAACCACAAGTAAGTGCAGGTCTCAGCCCTCTTCAAAGAAGCTTCCCTTTACAGCCAACAGAGACTGTTACAGAAAACTACAATCGGCTGTACGTAGAGTTCAATGGATTTAGGGGATTCCAGACACAAAGGATACATCTACAACACAACTCCTACACCTTAAGGCTCAGAGAACACCACAAAAGAGGGCAGAAAGGTTGTAAGAGGCAGAGAACATGGTATCTGTTTTAAGATTATGTTTCCCAGAAATGACAGGGAAGCTATACTCATAATACCTCAACAATATGGTTGTCTAAATAAGACCTGAACAATGACAGTATCGATAGAGACGTTAACGCAGAAAGGGGAGCTCTCATGGGGCCTCACACCTAAACAAGACTGCTGAGAAAGGGGGAACTGCAGGAAGGAGCCCGCTAACTGGTCATCCAGTGCATGGTGGTCAGCCCTAAATCAAATACACACAGACACACTACAAAGACACAGTGGGCTATGTTTACATATTTATGGATATACATATATATATAATGAAACAATAATGATCAAATAAAAAGAAGCCACTGATCAATTTGAGAGGGTGTGAGGGTGGGATGGGGGGGTTTGAGGGAGGGCACATGGAAGGAGTTGGGGGGAAGAAGGGAAGGGAGAGGATGATGTAATTATATTTTAATTTTTAAAAAGTTAATAAAATGTTAGATACTTATTTAAATTCCTGTTTACAGGTTATCAGATAGTCCCTGCACTTTAAATAATGGAAGAACATAAATTAACATCACTCAAATGAAGACTCCGACTTGTGGAGAACACAAACAAGATTAGTGTTTGCTTAGATAACCTTGGCATTATCATAAAGACTATTACCAACAGAGATCAAGACAAAAACTGGAGAATTACTTGACAAACGCCATACAAAGAAAAAGGACAGTATCTGTTAGAATATATAGATTTACAAAAGTTTTTAGAATAGTAGAGTTTTTAGTCTGTTAGAATATATAGTTTTAGAATATTCAAGTTTTCAGACTGTTAGAATATATAGCTTTTGGCACATGGAAACAACAGTACTTTAGAAAATCAGGAAAGAATCATAAAAAGATTACCTTAAGAAAGCTAAGTCAGCAAGGGTGAACAGTAGCACAGCTCAGATCTGAAATGTACCCCACAAAGGCTGTGTTTAGGGCATGGTTACTAGCCATGGGTACCACTGGGAGGCAGCAGAGCCTTTAAGAGGTGAGGAGGCCTGGTGGGAGGATGTTAGTACACTGGAGTGTGCCCTTTGAACAAGGTCCTGGGGCCTCTCTGTCTCTTCAGAGGAGAGCAGCCCCTCTGCCACACACGCCCCACAAAGACGGTCTTCCTTATAAAGGCCCAAAAGCAGCAGTCCAAGTAACCATGGATGGAAACAGCTAAATTACAAATCCAGATACTTTCTTATGTTGACAGTGACAGGAAGCTGAGAAAAATAGCCAGAATTTTTTTGTAAGGTATTTTCTTGCAGTTTTGGAAACTAAACCTAGATCCTTCTTGCGCTAGAAAGTTAACAATAGCTGTTAGAAGAGTAAACAAAATCCGTGAGATATCTCTTGTCGTTACTTTATAAGTATACATTCACTTAAAACAGGGTACAGATTGAAAATAAAACCCCAGATTGAATTAATTTTGACACAAAGTTATCCACAGGCTGGATAGCATCCTTGAAGTTCCTCTGCAGCAGATGGGAACAAATGTAGAGACCCACAGCCACACATTATGCAGACAGTAGGAGACCTCTGAAGGAACACTCAGCCCAAAATGGGATGTCTTCATCAAATCCCTCCCCTCAGAGGTCAGGGTACCCTGCAGAAGAGGAGATGGAGAGAGTGGAAGAGCCAGAGGGGATGGAGGACACCAGGAAAACAGGGCCCCCTAAATCAGCATGAGCAAAGCTCACATGAACTCACAGAGACTGAAGCAGTAAGCACAGGGTCTGCCCGGGTCTGCACCAGGTCCTCTGCGTATATATTATTAATTCCACTTCAATGTTCTTATGGGGTTCCAGATGGGAAGGGAGGTGGGGAGGAACTGGAAGGAGGAGAGGGAGGGGAAACCCTAATCAGGATATATTTTGTGAGAAAATCTATTTTCAACAAAAGGTAAAAAATTAAATAGTGTATTTAAGCAATTGTTTAATTTTACTTCATCAAAGTCCTAATGCATAGGTAATTTTATTTATATTAGGTGCTTCTATTTAGAAAGCTATGGTTAAACCCCAGGGAAGTGGGAAGATAGTCATTCAACCTGGGCTCAGGAAGGATGACTTCCTCCCTGTGACCCTTTTCTTACTGTGACTCCTGTGTAAGTGCCCGGAGTGATCAACTCAATTCTATATTGCTAAAAACTGAGATGGAAGAAATCAACCTCTGTGCTAGTTGGGTGTTTTTGTCAACATGATACAAGATGACCCTGTCTATGAAGAGAAAACCTCACTTGAGAAAATGCTTCTATGTGACTGGACTCTAGGCAAGTCTATAGCACATTTTCTTGATTAATGATTGATGTGCGAGGGCTCAGTCCACTGAGGGCAGAGCCACCCCTGAGCATGTGGTCCTGGGTTGTATAAGAAAGCAAAAGGGGCAAGCCAGGAAGCAGCGTTCCTCCTTGGCCTCTGCTTCAGTCTCGACCGCCAGGCTCCTGCCTTGAGCTCCTGCCCTGACTTCCTTTCATGATGGAAGTGTAAACTGTTAGGATGAAATAAACCCTTTCCTCCTCAAGGTGCTTTTGTCATCATGTTTTATCACCCTTTATTATATGTTTATATTTATTATTATTATTATAGTTAAATGTTTTATCACTATTTGTCACAGCAATAGAAAAGTCAACTAGGGCAACCTAAAACAAGGGAAGGTGGGGGAAAATATTAGTAATGTTATTCATGCACAAGGCATGCTAAGCTTTGCGATAGGCACTTGACACTCAATCCTACAACCCTGGGGCCTGGCAAGATCGACATGACTTCTCTCATGCATTAATCATGGGAGTAAAAGTAGATTGCAACTGTTCTCACGAGGTTAGAAAGTGAAGACAAATGCATGAACAGGTCAATTTCTAGTCAGTGTGGTAAGAAGTTGTTATACAAAGCATGCCAGGTGAGTCCCACAGAAAAGGAAAATCCTCTCAATGCTGCAGGCCAGGTCAGGTCACATAGCAAATAGAACCAGGGTCTAAAACCAAGTTTGTCTAGTTTCGAGTCTGTGATGTTATAGATGCAATATACTCCAAATGTTATCTCTAAAGACTGGTGAGGGATTATACTACAAGTTTCCCATTATTAAGAATCTTAAGTTTTAAGCCCCAAAGAACAAAAATGCATTGCTAGCATTGACTAGCAATAGTTTTAATGATACTGCAAAATCGATAAAACAAATCCTGAGACTCATATGTCCACTGAAACACTTCCCTGATGGTTTGATGGAAAGTTTCTAGGTAGGGACAAACTCAGGCCAGAACCGAGATGAAAGCCAGCACCACGAGACCCTAAACAGCAAGAGTCTGAAGAACAGGAAAGAATCAACACTGACTAAAAACTGACAGATCTACACTAGTCGGAGGAGGCCGCAGGCCTGGAAGTGGTGTGGGTTCAGGAAATCAGGCAGCAGACACAGTCTTCCGGACAACTGGACAGACCAAGCAGAGGTCTGGACAACACGCAGAGCGTGACCAGATATTTAATCTTGGAGTAAGAGAAGGCTGGTCTGAGATCACACAAGGAGTCCCAGCTAATGGGTTTCCTTTCCCCAACAGGCACTACAGACTTCCCGCTGGCCACAACAGCCCAGAAACTAAGACTTTAAAAATGCTAAAACTACCTGCTACATGCTTTACACGTATTAACTTAATCCCCCAACACCTTTTATAGCAATTGTATTATTATCCTCATTTTGATAGGTTAAGAAGCCAAGGATCCGAGTGACTAAATATCCTCTCAGGCAGAAGCAAAATTGCTAGCAAGGCAGTCTGGCTCAAAAGCCATGAAAACATGAAAAGATTTAGATTTAGTCCATGTAACTCTTCAGAGCTGAAGTAATAAGCAAGTTGTGACAGGGTTTGGAAAAAAAATAACCTTAGACTGAAAAGGACATTGGGTATTCTGTGAAATCCAAGAACTTCTTCACATGCTCTAAAGCAGCACTCATCATTCTTAGATAGTCAAGTACACAGGAAAAGCACTAGCTTCCTAGAAGAGCCTCTAAGTCCTCTTCACTTGGAGATGCTGTAAGAACTAACATCATTCATTTGTAATGTACGGACCTTATCAAACGGCTTTTAGACATCACACGTATCACTGACTGCTCAATGGAGGGAAAGAACAGGTTAAAAAAAAATACAGTTTCTTCCTCATAATTTACAGAAAAGGATGTATTTTAATATACCAGGTACACTTGGGTTTGTCAGTGTTACAGATCACTTGTGACAATCTTTTATAGCTGTCTTCATTTCCTCCTATAGACTGACCTTTTTATACCCACCCCATGGTAGTCACAAGTGGCTCTGTGGTGTTCAAGGGAAGCCAATTTCTCTCTCAGATGCTTATTTTCTTCCGTTAGAGTCTGTAGGGTTTGGTTCAAAACATTTATGTCTGCCTTTGAAAACAAAAGGAGAAAAATTATTTTAAATAAAGAAATCTTATTTTAAAATAACAGTTGAACTGGAAATTGGAAAGTAACCTATGTGCATGTTTCCCTTCTCAAAGAGTGGGATTTTGATGAGTCTGATAGCTCTAGGGTATTTAAAACAAGTTATTTAGGCCGGGCGGTGGTGGCGCACGCCTTTAATCCCAGCACTTGGGAGGCAGAGCCAGGCTGATCTCTGTGAGTTCGAGGCCAGCCTGGTCTACAGAGTGAGATCCAGGAAAGGCGCAAAGCTACACAGAGAAACCCTGTCTCGAAAAAACAAAAAAAAAAAACAAAAACAAAAAAAAACACAAGTTATTTATATTTTATTTCAACTTTTTGTTTTTAGTGAAAAAATTTCTTATGCATTATATTCTGATCATGCTTTCCCCCTCCCCAACTTCTCCCAAATCCTCCCCACCTCCCCACCCACCCAAAAAAAGACAAAACCCAGAAAATACACACACAACTGCACCACAAAAACACAAGCAAGAGTAGACAAGCAGAAGACCAATAAGACAATAAATGCTCCAACAAAGTATAATGAGACAAAAGTCGACAAAAATACCATTGAGTTCTTTTTGTGCTGGCCATCTACTCCTGGGCGTGGGTCCCTATCCTGAAGTGTGGTTAATACACCCAGGGAGACACGTTTGGAAAAAAACTAGTTTTTCCTTTGCTAGAAGCTAACAATTGCAGATAGATTCTTGGTAAAGGGTGTGAGCCCATGTCCACTTGCCCCCTCAGTGCTGGGACCCTGTCCGGCTCGAATCTGTGCAGGCCTGGGCATGCTGCCAGTCTCTGTGAGACCCTATCCTCTGGCTCTTACACTCTACCTGTTACTCCTCTCGTTGTTATTGGGAGAACTAAGTAATTCATCTTTACTAGAAGTTATGCCCTTTCTAGTATTTGGTATTTGTTTATCAATTTAAGTTTGTGTGTATAGATGCAAAAATCTTCCACAAAATATTGTCAAGTTAACCTAGGAATATACAGAATGGAAATAAGATGTACGTGAAGTTTATCCTGGTAGGATGTGCTATTTACTACCAGTACAATTGACCACGTCAACAGACTATATCAGATAAACCTTATGACCATGTTAATAAACATTTTTAAAACTCAACTATGACTCAATCTATGACTTCAAAAACCTCACATAAAAATTATGAGAAACAACCACCTCTACTTGATACAATTGTGCCTACAAAGTTCCCGCAGGTGGCGAACTTTCCAGTATGAGGCATGATGTCCCTCCCTCTGTTACACAGGCCTTCAACCCAGTCAGAGAGCCGTGGTTACCAGCATGTGCACGGCTCTGTTGTGCCCTTCAAGCTATTGTGACATCTAGCTATGGCTGCAGTTCATGGTGTTGCAGCCGGGCAGAGCTATTGGCTGCTTTCCTCCCTTGGAAGTCTGCCTGGCACCTTCTGGTGTCGGGAGAGCTACTGTAACTAAGGAACGCTGAAGAGGGGGATAGTCTTCCATAGGGAAGAGCCCCCCACCCCAACTGGTTCTCCAACAGCAAGTGGTCAGCTCTGAAATTATATACATACAAGTAACAGTATATGGACTGATAATGTTGTGTTCATATATTTATATAAGTCATTGTTACATATACATGTAACAATAATTTAAAAGGCCATGCATTTGAGAGAGAGAGCAAGGAGGGGTTTATGGGGGAGGCTGAAGATGAGAAAGGGAGGGGAGAAATTATGTCACTATATTTTAATTTCAAAAATAAAAAATAGGGCTGGAGAGATGGCTCAGAGGTTAAAAGCACTGGCTGCTCTTCCAAAGGTTCCAGGTTCAATTCCCAGCAACCACATGGTGGCTCACAACCATCTGCAATGAGATCTGGTGCCCTCTTCTGGCCTGCAGGCATACATGCAGACAGAACATTGTATACATAATAAATAAGTCTTTAAAAAAACAAAAATAAAGAATATTAATTCAAATATCCTAAAGCTAATAGGAATCCTATTTAATTATAAGAATAGATGGCCAAGAGTTTCAAAGTTGCAAAAAGAAAACACATAACCAATGAAACCTAACCGGAAGTCTACAATGGATCTAAATATCTATGGCCAACCAATTTTTAACAAAAGTACCAACACAAGCCAAAGGAAAAAGAAGAGTTTATCAAAAGATGTGACCAGAGAAGTGACATCAGTGATGTGGAAGAAGCAAGGACCTTCAAAAAGTCTTTCTCATAGAAGCAAAAACAGCCCCAGTGAACTTCAGAACTCCGGAGTTAACAAAGGCAAGGTATGCAATGCTTATTAAAGGAAATGGCTGAAACTAGAACGGAGAGATCTGGATTGTTTTATTTGCTCTATTCTTATCTTCCTTTCTCCAGCACAGAAGGAGCTTTGAGAGGCATTAGACTGCCAGCTCCGTGAGAATTAAGTCCGGCAGTCACCTAAGGTAAAAGACATGATTGTTACTCTTTCAAAATGTCATTTCCAAAGCACTATTGTGATATGATCGTGCCCTAGTTTGGGTTATTATTGCTATGATGAAATACCAAAGTGCTACTTGGGGAGGAAAGTATTTATTTTGCTTACACTTCTACATCGCTGTTTATTATCAAAGAAAGTCAGGACAGAAACTTAAACAGGGCAGGAACCTGGATGCAGGAGCTGATGCAGAGGAGTGCTGCTTACTGGCTTCCTCCCCATGGCTTGCTCAACCTGATTTCTTACAGAACCCAGGACCAACAATCCAAGGGTTTCCCAACCTACGATGGGCTGGACACTCTGCCATCAACCACTAATTAAGAGAATACTCTACTGGCTTGCTTGCTTACAGCCTGATCTTACTGGAGGCCTTTTCTCCACTGAGGTCCCCTCCTCTCAGATGGCACCAGTTGTGTCAAGCTGACACAAACCAGCCAGGACAATCTGTCTGGTGCTTCTCTGGATAACTTCGTAAACTGGACTACCTTAATTTGGCTGACTTGGAATTTACTCAGTACAAAAAGCTTTCCTCTAGACACACGCACAGGAACGGTTAGAGGTAACTGGCTAAGTTTGCAGTTGCCTGAGACAATTGTCAAATAGGAAAAAAATAGGCTAACCACAAAATCCAGAAGATAAAGACAGGGAATGAAATAACCATCAGAAGCTTTGGAGAACACCGACAACTTCCTGAAGCTCTAGAAAGTCAGGTATATGCATAGGGTCTTGCACATGGGCAGAGTTGTATGCATGGTCTGATGTGAGAAGGCTTCCAAAGCCCACCTATGACAGACTCTGAGGCTCTGTACACTCTGAAAGTTAGAAATGTCAACACTCTGTAAGATTCGAAGGCATGCCTCAAAATGTAGTTCTTCATCAAATCATCAAAACGTTGAAAGCAAAATTCAGAAAGTCCTGAAAGTAACCATAAAAGGGCTCACCATGTACCAGGTATAACCAGCAGGATGACAGCTGACTGAACATCACAATTTCAAGGCAGAAGGAAGAGGTGTAATGTACTAAAAATTCCAAGAGAAAAAGCCTCAGCTAAGAATTCTAAATCCAGCAAAAGCAGTCCTCAACAATAATAAAAATATCAAAGTATTCCCAGATAAACAAAAATTGTAATAATTCACACAAAGAACTTAACTGGTTTAAACGTAACCCTGAGGTGATGGCACATTCAAATCTCATTGAAATATGTAAAATAATTTACCAAGGTCCCCACCTCTGGTGTGTGTGTGCAGATTTGGGGCTAGAAACCATACTCTACATGGAAAAGTAAAGGGAGTTCTTCAGGCTGAAACAAATGGGCAGTGGATGGCTGCTGGAATTCACATAAGAAATAAAGGGTAAAGTGTACCACATGCACGTTTGGTGCCCACAGCAGTCAGAAGAACTGGAGTTATGGGTGGTTCTGAGCTGAACCTGGGTCCTTTGCAAGGGGAAAGCAAGATCTTAATGACTGAGCCATATTCTCAAGCCCCATATGGCTTTTTTATTTGTTTGTTTGTTTGTTTGTTTTTTCGAGACAGGGTTTCTCTGTGTAGCTTTGCGTTTGCGCCTTTCCTGGATCTCTCTCTGTAGACCAGGCTGGCCTCGAACTCACAAAGATCCGCCTGCCTCTGCCTCCCAAGTGCTGGGATTAAAGGTGTGTGCCAACACTGTCCGGCACCATATGGCTTTTTAAATTTGTAACTTTATCTTACCTACAAGCCAAAAAGTATAATAAAGAAAGCAATAATGGTGTTAAATCGATGCAATAGAAATCTTCACAAAACAAGAAGGCAATAATTAAGTAGTAACAAAACACAAAAGCAAAAAGTAAACTGCTGATATAAACTAGTTCTTAACAATAATTATGTAGACTGTAAGTGGACTAAATCATGTTGAAACAGCAGAAGGACTGGGATGAAGAGAAGGCTCGGCAGTTAAGAGCACCAGCTGCTCTTCCAGAGAACCTGAGTTAGATTCCCTGCACCCGCATGCTGGCTCACAAGCACCCGTGACTCCAGTTCCAAAGGATCTGAGCCTCTTCTGGCCTCTCAGCACTGCCTGCATGTGGCACACTTACACACATGCGGAGAAAATACCAACACATGAAATGAGTACAAGTCTTTTTCAAAAAGCAGAGATAGGCAGAACGGAAAGTTGTAATGATCTAACAATTTTTGAAAGACAGACTTTAGATTCACATGAAAAGGCAAGGGGACGGGAAATGTCTGCCATATAAACAACAATCTGAAAAGAGCTTGGGTGGCTACATCAATATTAGACAAAAATTAAGATAAAAATTGGTGAGATAAAGGAGGATACTACCTATGGAAAATAGTATTAGCCAGCAAAATGTAATATTCATATAGCTATATGTTCAGGTAACAAGAGAACCCCAAAACATATAGGAAGCCAAAGAAGAACAGAACTGTATAGAGAAGTAAGTAAACAATAGACAGAGATTTCAAATCTCCCACATGTAATATTAAATAGGACAAGACAAAAGATTCATGGGCAAATAGAAGACTTAAGCAACACTATTAACTAATAAGCCCTAAGAGAACAATTCCCCAACAACGAAGACTATAGACCTTTCTCAAGTACACATGCAATAATCTCCAAGAAATATCATATGTTAGGTCATAAAGCAACTATCAATAAATTAGAAAGGGCTAAAATCTTGTAAAGTATGTTCTCATCCAAAATATAATGACATTAAAATTAATAAAGCAAAACCATTTGGGAAAGTTCATATATGTTAGGAAATCAACACATTTCTAAACAACCAATGGTTCAAAAAACCGGAAATCACAGGGGAACTTAGGGAATCCTGTGAGATGAACAAAATCAAAAGAACATCAAAACTGAACTTATATATGCAGTGAAGCCAGTTTAGAGAAGGAAATTCATTCCTGTAAACATCTCTATTTTAAAAAGGAATATCTCTTGGATGTGAACCTAGCTTTTAACAGCTGAGCCATCACTCCAGCCCAAAAGGAATATTTCTTAAATCAATAACCCAAGCTTATCTTCAACTAGAAATCAAAGAACAAGTTAAACAAAAAGCAAACAGAAGACAATAATAAAAGAGCAGAAATTAAATAAAGTACAGGAAAATCACAGAAAACAAAAAGCAGGCAGCTGGACTAACAAGGAAAACCAGAGAAGATACAAACTGCGAAACAGTAGTGAAAGAGAGACCGTACTTCTGATCTGATAGAAATACATGTATATGACTAGTCAGAACAATTGTACGCCGACAAGTTTGACGCCCTAGATTGAATGGACACACTCCTAGAAAGAACCAATGTATTGAAACTGATTCAAAAGAAAGGCAAAAACAAACAAACAAACAAACAAACAAACAAAACAAAAAAAAACAAAAAACAAAATAAACAAACAACCAAAAAAATTAAAAAAAAAAAAAAGAAAGGCAAAATTTAAAACCACCAAAAGGCTGAGAAAAGAGAAAGGAGTCAGAAATTCGGAAGAGATCTTCAATGGGAGGTTGAATCAGTAATAAAGTGAAACAGAAAAACAACAAAAAACTTCCCACAATGCCAAATCTATGACAAGGTAGCTTCACTAGTAAATACTACAAGAATACTTAATGAAGAACGGATATGAGACTCTCAAAAAATCTTAGCCAAAAATATGAAAAGAAACATTTACAAATCATTTTAACAGGTTAATATTATCTTGACACCAAAACCAAAGTTAACACAAGAAAAATAAAATCAAAGAACAATTATCTTGTATGAATACAAATTTTAAAAACTCAACAAACCAGGCCAACATCATTCAAAAGGTGCATATAACATGACCAGGTAAAATTTATTTAAGGAATGTAAGCCAAGTATTTTTTGTTTTGTTTTGTTTTTCGAGACAGGGTTTCTCTGTGTGGCTTTGCACCTTTCCTGGAACTCACTCTGTAGCCCAGGCTGGCCTCAAACTCACAGAGATCCACCTGGCTCTGCCTCCCGAGTGCTGGGATTAAAGGCGTGTGCCACCATTGCCCGGCATAAGCCAAGTTTAAAAAAAAAGCATGTGAAATCAATGAACATAATATATAATAGTAAAACAAAGGACACAATCCCTATGGTCATTTCAATACCTCCAGATAAAACATTTGACAAAATTCAGAACAGTCTAACAAAGATTTCCATAAAACTAGGCATAGAAAGGAATCTCCTCACTTTCATGAGGGAAACTTACCAGAATCCCACAGCTTACAAAACAATACAACAAACTAATAGAAAAAGGATGCCTATCCTCACCATTTCTAGTCAACACTACAGCACAAATTCTAGTCACCTTATACAAGACAAAGAAAGAAAAGACAGAAAGAGATCACAAAATCACACATGTGGATATACACAAATTGTGTTAAAATTGCAATGCTCCCCAAACTAATGTACGGAATTAGTGCATAGCCTATCAAAATTGCAGTTGTCCTGTGTTACAAAACTGGAAAAGCTGATCCTAAAAGTTCACATGGCAACACACAGACTCAAAACAACCAGAACCATCTAAATAAAAATTAGGCTCATTCATCCCAATGTCCAAACAAAGCCATCATAAGGATAGGTAAGTCTATCAATGCAAGTCATAATGTTAACTGACACAAGCTAGACACAAATTACTTGTTTTCACTCATTCATAAAAACTAGAGTCAGTCTCCGAGAAGAACTGATTGGAATAGTGATCATTAAAGATTAAAGGACAATGGGAAGCATGAATGGAAAGAAGTTAAATTAAGAGTTACCAAAACACAGGTGTGTGGGGTGGAAGGGATTGATCCTGGTTTCGACAACACAGTAGGGTAACCATTGGCTAATATGATCTGTGATATTCTTCAAACTGTCTAGATTATGAAATATACAACCTACAAAAAAAATCACTAACGTGAGAATGTGGAAGTGCTCATGATCCTTATTTATTATACACTGCATGCACATATCAATTTACCCATAAGCTACTCCACAAAGGTGTACAAATATAAAATGTATCAACTACAGAAGAAACATAAGGATAACTCAAAGATAAAGTGGCATGTATGCACACGTATTTATGAAATAAAAGCCAGGCTTGCTTTTATGTTTAACAGTAAACAGTGTCAGCAATCAGTCCTTTGTTTTTCTAGACCCATTAGCTAATTCAGCCTCAGGGGACTTCTGAATAAAATACTCAGTGAAGTCTAGGGCCAGAGGCAGTGGTGGCTTACAAAGGCAAACCCCATGTGCTCAACAAGCACCACTCCCTCACAACGCACTGGAAGGCCTTAAGCGACATTAGCTTTGTGCCCTCCCCATCTTGATAATCAGGATAATCACCCTACTCATTAAATACACTGAGACAGTAGGCAGCAATCAGAAGGATCCAGATAAAATGAAACATCAAAAATAAAACCCAAAATACCTTGCTTTTAGCTAATTCCTTTTCCAAATTGCATTTTCCTTTGGCTACTTCTTTTTCTGTTTTCTTGACCTGCCCAGGTGGGAAAAGGAAATGGATCAATGTTTAGAACACGCAGGTTCTACAAGAGCAGCTGACAACATCCAACATGTCAATGAATCCCTACATGGCAGAGGTAGCAGCACATCCTCTCAGAGAAGGTCGCGGTCAACAGGGTTGCGGTCAATGGGTGTCTTACAAGTGACACACCTGCATGTCAGCTCCGGCTGCTCTCCTCCCAACCAGAAGACAGGCTGTGCCCTTAACTTTCCCGCTCCTGCTTTCCTTTAGAGAAATGAGTTTTTAATCCGACCCTGTAACTAACAGGAGGATGGGGGAATTATCAGTCGACACTACTGCTGTAGGAAGAGCATGCTGCACTATTTGGCAAAGACTACTTTACATGCTGAAGAATACACATTTCTTTAGTGGGCAACTCAAAGTCTTGAAACAGCTTTACTTCTGTTCTCATCTTTTGCCCTAGAGTACAACTTTGAAACAGCATTCTATACCTCCACCAGGAGGGAAATCTGTGCCTACCCACCTCCTGCTGCAATCTTTCATTCTTCTCTAGCAGAGACTTCCTCTCTTGCATTGAGGCTTCCAGGTCAGCCCGCAGTCTGGCAATAGTTGACTCCAGAAGTTCTTTTTGCACCCTTGTCCTCTCTTCGGCTTCCTGTGCTTTCTGGACACACTGGCTGTGCTCCAGGATTAAGTGGTCTCTGGAAGAAGAGGATGAGGGTCATCAAGTCCCCCGACCAGTTACCATAACATTCTACAAACTAGTTCCCGGGCAGATTCCTCATCCCTGTGGTTGGCTCACAAACGTCAACTCAGATAGTTTCACGAAGGGCAGAAACACACACAAGAGAACAAAAGAGGCCCCCGGCGCTGGCTTACAGGTGGATCTGGAGTTGGGTTTTATCGTTCTGAACAGTTTGGAGCTCGCCGGTGATGCTGGCGTGGGCGGCATCTAACAGGAGATTTTGCTCTTGAAATGTCTCTGTTATCATTTTCTGCTCCACCTGAGAGAGTAACAAAAGCTGAGCTGCCATTTGAGGGGTAATAGTCATCGTCACTGTTCAAAGACACGATGCTCACTTCAAAACTTGTTTCACTTTCACAAATAAAGCCAATAGTTTGAGGACCCAGCCTTCTCTTTGGTTACAGTTCTGTCATTTTATAGCTCTACTAAACAAAGATGAAGACGTATTATTGACCAGCCTTGAAAATATTTTGTGAAACTATAAATCTCAATATATTTTCAAAAATAAAATTTACATTAAAATATTTTAGTATCTTAAATTTTTTCTTACTTTAACATATGAAACAATATAAACATCAGATGAAAAGGCCTTTTCATCTCTACCTTCTCCTCCAAACAGTCTCCATCTGTTGGGAAAGCTGTGTGTGGCAGTTGGTGTGAACTCCCCTGAGGCCATCTTCTGTTGCACTAGCACACTGTGGCACTAATGGGACTAGCATTGGCACTTTTTCTCCAGCTTACCATTTTCTAATTAGCAACACTTCTACCTACAATCCATAATACTTTTGCAAGCCTTGTACACATTAATAATTACTTAATCATGTTTTATTTAATTTCTTACTGGAAAAATAAGGATAATAGATGTAGCAGCTATAATAATTAGAAGCTGTAACATATGTAAAATCCTTAATATTGTACTTGTATATGCAAAAAAAGCAAGCAGAAAACAACACACACACACACACACACACACACACACACTTTCACACACACAACCCACATGAGCTACTACTTAGCATCCCAGGACCAGAATTTGAAAATTTTTCCGTTTTGATTAGGATGATCAAGATTCATGGTGAAAGGCAATCTTAACCTGAGTCAAAGTCAAGAGTATTTTTAGCATACTGTAAGCAAAATGGAAAGTCAGACGTTTGGGGGAAAATAAGTATTTGAGAGTCAGTTTTAAATGTACACCATCATTAGGGGCTATGGATATGGCTAAGTGATTAAGAGGACCCAGGTTTGGTTTCCCAGTGAGGGGAATCTAATGCCTACTTCTCAAGTCTGTGGGCACCAGGCAGACACATAGTGCACACACATACATACCTGCAAGCAGAACACTCATACACATAAAATAAATGAGTCAAAACCTTTTTTAAAAAACTATACATCATTATTATATAAATACTAGAACAGATAATTACTTTTCCTAAAGTCATGATATTTGTGAAGAAAGCATTAAAAATCATGGAGTTTAAGGCCAAACCACCCCTTTGCAAAAAGGAGGAAACTACTAATCAAAACATAACAAGCGAGTTATAACAACAGCCTGTAATCCCAGAACTCTGTAGGCTGAGGCAGAAGGATTGTGAACTTGAGACCAGTCTGTTGGGCTACACAGTGAGATCCTACTGAAACCGTCAAGTAAAAAAACTGAAAGGAGTGCTGGCCTGAGCCTTGACTCCGGCCCTCTGGAGGGAGAGCCAGTGGGATCACAAGTCACGGTCATTCTTAGCTCATACTGAATTTGAGGCCAGCATGGGATGATGAGAATGTCTTTTTAAAAAGAAGAAAAAAGGAGAAATTAGTAAGTAAAAGAAGTTTGAGTACCAAAAGAATACCTGCAGAATAGCATGATGTTCAGCAATAATCCTGGCATTTTCCATTTTAACAATCTGAAGCATGCTGCTTAGCTCTGAACACTTTTTGGAAAGCTGGTCATTCAAAACCTAAGATAACATATACAGCAAGTCATAAGTCTTTCTAATAATTACTTCACTTATATATTATTTTTAATTTAGCTAACATATCATCAATTAATATTTCATTAGCTTGAAAACTACCTTCAAATACTTCCCTGTGAGTTACTGATCATGGAAGCCCCAGAGATTACCTAAACAACAGAAGATATTGCCTCTATTCTTAGTTGCCCACTGTAACTAAGCAGTAAGAACCTATTGCTAAAGACACTGCTCACTTTGGATGGAGGACATAGCGAAATCTACCTTGAACTGAACAGGAAACTCTCTCCCTGCTCACTGGCTTTCATAATCCAGAAAGTGCTAAGCAACCAGCTAGGAAAGAGGAGATACCAATGGTCTTCCCAGCACTGAATCTTTAGTGCTACAATACTGACCTGCTAGCAAAATACACCCACTGGTGCAGCAGGGGCATGACTGTTACAGAAGTAACCAACTGTCTAACTGGATATGTCTGTTCCAGGGATTTCAGGCCTGGTTTAAAGCTCCTGACTGGGGAAATAACAGGCCCTAGGAGGAAACCTACTGTTACTGTTTTGCTAAAAGCTCATGTAATCAGTTACATTCTAAATATTTATGTTTATGCCCACAGGTTTGGGCTGCTCTGAACCTTGGTCAGGGAAGCTTGTTTTTTACAGCAAATAGTGGTTAATGTAGAGAATTATAGCCTAAAGTACCAAGCATGAAGTAACTGCAGGTGCTCTGCTGTGGATCTCTACCCACCTACAACCACCTGCAGCTCACAGAACTCTGCAGGTGTGGAAGTAAGATTTCAGAGCCGGCGGCAAATGTGGAGGAAAGGTGAAATGTGAAACGCAGACTTCAGGACACGGCATGGATGTTGCCCAACTCTCAGCAGTGGTTCCTCCACACATAACCTGCACAAGTAGCCAGACAGGGGCTCCTGGAGGTTGGTGGCTACCGGAGGAGGGCAGTCAGTCTCTTTGTGGGAAGTGGCTGCTGGTAGGTTGCCCACACCCTGGGGCTAGCCACACACCTTTGCACATATGGGCAGCACTAATTGGATTCATGGTAATAATGAAAAAGAAAGGACATCAAATTAGGAGGGAGATGGGGTGGGAGCACAAGGAGAATTGGCAGGAGGTAGTGGTAGATGGATGTGATCAGTGTACTTTGTACCAACGACTGAAACTTCTAACAAATGAAATATTTTTAGAAATGGGAGTTTGGATGCTATAGCCAGAAGGGGGTGTGATATGGAGGGAGAGGAAGTGGTTGATACCAAGTGACTAGAAAGGGGTGGGGTACAGAGGGAGAGAGGAAGTGATCAATACCAACTGACTGATTTGGTTATAAACACATTAAGCATTGTTTATAACAATACCAATTGTACTTCTGGAGCTCCCAAGGCATTCGGCACTTGACTTATTTCACAGTTTTGAATACAAGTCAAATAGAGCAAGACTTCTAAAGAATGGAATCTCATGCCAGTGTCTAATAATACGAAAAATTCATTCCCAAAACTGTATCTTCAACATTGAGAACTACTTACCCAATAATACAAAATATCCATGTTCTTTTACCAGCAATGATAGTATTTACAAAAGCAAAATACAGATTTTAATCTCTCAAGATGAATCCTTCAGAACAAAACAAACCCCTACATCATACTAGCAGTTAATGTTTCTCTTACATCAAACTGTACATTTTTTTCAGGTTCTGGATTAGACTCAGGGTTTTAAGCACGTAAATTATTTGCTCCCACACTGTGCTATAACCCTGCCCTCAGCTCCAGAAATCCTTATTCTTGTGGCAGATATACCCTTGAATTACTGTTCTTTAAGGTAAACTGGGCGGGGTTTATGTTGTTGTCTTCTGAGACTGGCTGACCCTGCATTCTAAGTAGCTGGAGAGGACTTTGACCTTCTAGTCCTGACTTTAGAGTGGCCCTCACAGGTGAGCGCTGCCACACCTGGTCGTGGGCTGTGTGCTTCCGTGAAAAAGTTCCTGAGGATAAGGGCACATTCTTGAAAAAAATACCTAATGTGTTTATAACCAAATTACCTAAACCCAAACAAAACAACAACAACAAAAACCCACAAAAAGCAAAACACTCCTCTGCCACTTTGCTGAGATAGCAAACCTTTCTGTGTACAAGCTTCCTTATCTTCAAGTCACGAGTGACAATTTCCAGCCCTTAATGTACTGGTAAGCGTGATGATGTCAGTAATGCAAGGTGCTCAGAATTGTGCCTAGGATGTGAAGTGGCTTCACCAAGTGCTAACTATTGGTGCAGAAATAGTAGTGACTGTTTGATCAGAGGATATTGTTTTCATTTTACTGTAAGCATGGCAGTACGGTGACACCAGCGCTGTAGCAATCCGATTGTGCCACCAGGAAGTTATTTAAGGGATACACACTTGACTGGGTCTGTGAGACAGCGCGCCTCTGTATCTAGTCACTGTTTTCAATATACATTCCTGTACTAATATAAAGTATAAGTTGAATTGTGGTACTTATAGAAAGTGATCATATCGAAATCCCAAATCTAACGAGTGTTTCTTTCTGATGCTCCTACCGCACTATCTGACGTGGCCCTCACCACAACAGTGTGGGATGTAGCCTTGCCATGGAGCACCTTAGAGAGGCACCGGGAAAGGGAAGGGAAATCCCCACGGTTAATCTTGTTGTCAATCTGATGGGCTTTAGAATCACCATGGAAACAAACCCCTAAACATGTCTGTGGGAGATTTTCTAGATGAAATTGAGACCCACATTATGTGTGGGTGACACCATTCCATGGGCTGAGGTCCCCAATTGGATAAAAAGGGGAAGCCAGCTGAGGACAAATATCTCTCACTCTCCTCTCCTCTGCAGATGCGGTGTGACCTTGAGCTCCTGCTGCCATGACCTATTCACCATAAACTGTGAGCCACAATGAATTCCACCCTAAAGTGCCTCTGTCAGGTACTTTACCACAAAAAAGGACTAATATTATCACTAAAGTAGAAAGCAAAATGTCCCTTGTGACTGATTTTGTCACGTAGCTTGTGTACCACAGTGTCAAAGGAATTTGGTGGGAAAATCCAAAATGTAGTTAATTTGATAACGATTAACAGATGAAGTCGACCTTACAAAAATAAAAATAAAAAGCTAGAGGAAAGAGATGATATGAATTTATATAACCAAGATTAATCTTGGTTCTTTAATGAAACAAACTGATCTCTTAAGAAGGAAAAAAGAAAAAGGAAGAAAAAGAGAAAAGCAAAGATTCACCTGTGCTTTTTCTGATACTTCTCGAAGGGACACCATTTCAGATTTCAAATATGTGTTTTCTTCATGTTCCTTCTTCAAAGATATTTGTGTACTCTATTGAAGAAAAAAAGGTTTGTTCTCCTTTTGACACTGGCAGATATTATGCACATCTTTGTGTGCAAGCAGGTGGTGTGGAAGTCTTAGGATCTTTAACTTGCAAATACCCTCTATCTCTCAATCACCAAAGGGCTTATACAAAGCTGATTCGGATACAGAGTGCTCTCATTGGCTGCTGCTGGGAATGAAAATGACGGAGCCTTCAGAAGACAGTTTGTAAATTCTTACAAAACTAAAGCGGTTATGATCCAGCAGCCCTGCTCCTAGGTTTTTGTCTCAGGGAGTGGGCATGTCATGTAGATATTAGCATCAGCCCAGCTCTTACTTGCTGAACTTGAAAGCAACCAAGATGTTCTTCAAAACCTTGCTCAACTCAAAACTGCAAAACTTGCCCTGGCTGGGGAATTTTTATTTTTGCTTTTGATTTTTCAGCAGAATACTAAGACGATTGCATCCTAGTCCCCACAGCACAGATTAGAAGAGTGTTTACTCACTCAAGCGAAACTGATCTTGAAATAGATAATTCTATCAGAAAGTGTATGAGAAGGAAAAAATACTCTATTCAAAAAATAACCCTTTGTTCCTTTTTTTCTTTTCTTTTTGGTTTTTCCAAGACAAGGTTTTTCTGTGCAGTTTTGGTGCCTGTCCTGGATCTCACTCTGTAGACCAGGCTGCCCTCGAACTCACAGAGATCCTCCTGACTCTGCCTCCCGGGTGCTGGGATTAAAGGCATGTGCTACCGCCATCCGGCAACCTTTTGTTTCTTAAAATTACTTCTTTTATATTTTGAGATTATAATTACATCATTTCCCCTTCCCCTTCCGTCCCTCCAAACTCACCCATATACCCCTCTTTGTCTTCAAATTTATGGCTTTTTTCATTAGTTATTGTTACATACATATATGTATGTTTATATACATATATCCCTTTGTTTTAAAATGTTTTTGTTATGTTAGCAAACTGTGGTATATACAGATAATGTAATATTATTTAACACTAAAAATAAGCTACCAAGTCATAAAAACATACAAAGGAATTTAAATATTTACTGAACTGAAGAAGCCAATCTTAAATGTTACATCTATAATCCCAACCATATGATGCTCTGGGAAAGGCAGATCAATGGTTAACAAGGGTTGGGGAAAAGAGGGATGAATGTGCAGAGCACAGAGGACTTTAGGGAAGTGAATTGTTCCGTATATGACAATATTTGATAATATGTCATTATATATTTATCTAAATCCAAGGAATGAACAAATCTCCAAGAATGAACCCTAATGTATATTACTTACTTGATTAAGATTACACGCTAATGTTGATTCTTCTAGAGTAATTCTGTTATTCCAATGGGAGATATTGAGAGCCAGGGAGGCTATACATATGTAGAGAGGCCAAGCGTGTAGAGGCAGGGGGTACATAGGAAATCTACATACTTTATATTCTGTGTGGTGGTGAATGTAAAATTGTTCTAAAAGCTATGATTTATTTTTAAAGACTTGATATTAGGATTCTGACTAGAAAAACATGACTAAAACCATTCCATAACTACTCACTCACATTCTTATATCAAGTAGGTTCTCTCCAAGAATAAATACTTATCTCATATTCTCATTTTTTTTTTTTTTTTTTTTTTTTTTTTTTTTTTTTTTTTTTTTTTTTTTTGGTTTTTCGAGACAGGGTTTCTCTGTGTAGCTTTGCGCCTTTCTTGGAACTCACTTGGTAGTCCAGGCTGGCCTCGAACTCACAGAGATCCGCCTGGCTCTGCCTCCCGAGTGCTGGGATTAAAGGCGTGCGCCACCACCGCCCAGCATATTCTCATTTTTATTAGCATTAAGATTTTGTGATTCCATTATGGGGGTATCTTTGTGGATTTCTGTGGGCCTCTCTAGCACTTTGCTTCTTCCTATTCTCATGTGTTCTTCATTTACGATGATCTCCTATCCTTCAACTGGATCAGGCCCTCTGAATAGGAGAGACAGTTGATTGGCTTGATCTGTTTGGGAGGCATCCAGGCAGTGGGACCGGGTCCTGTGCTCAGTGCATGAGTTGGCTGTTCGAAACCTGGGGCCTATGCAGGGATGCTTGGCTCAGCCTGGGAGGAGGGGCTGGACCTGCCTGGACTGAGTCTACCAGGTTGATCTCAATCCTTGGGGGAGGCTTTGCCCTGGAGGAGGTGGGAATGGGGGGTAGGCTAGGGGAAGGTGAGGGGGGCGGGAGGGGGGAGAACAAGGGAATCCGTGGCTGATATGTAGAACTAAATTATATTGTAAAATAAATTAAATTAAATTTAAAAAAATAATCCTACAAAGCACCTTAAGGTGAATTTAAAATCTTCAAGTTAATAAAATTGGTCAATTTTGCAAAGAAAAGAAAAGAAAAAAAAAGATTTTGTGATTCCAAAGGAACACATTCAAATGCCTTTGAAAGTTACAGGATGTTTTCACCAAGGAGGACCTCAGGGTGGTGAAGGAAAGGACCTGCTCTCTGAGGAACAGAACTAGATCTCTCTGAGATTGGGGAGGGGGAGAGAGAAGTGAGGCTGGTTTGAGATTCCTTAAGAGCTTCTTGGTAGAGCAGGGAAGGACAGAGTGCAGCTTCTTCCTCTACCGAGAAAACTACTTCTCTAGTTTCCCAGAAGCAGGAAGAGAAACACCGCACAGCACAGGGTGAGATGGCAGCAGGAACCTCTTCTACATGGGAGCAGAGACTGACTTGGAGTGTGACTGTCACAGAGAGGCATTTTCTCCTAAATGTAGGTGAAGTTCCCCATTCTGCCCAGCTGTAAGAGTGTGTTCAGTAATGTTCAATGCATGGACATTGCTGGGCAACCACCAACTACAACATTCCATTTATTATCTCTCATGACCATGCTTTAGAAAGTAATTTACAATTGGCAAAGTCCACAAAAGTCTCCTTATTTTATTGTTTTAAAACAATAACCTGCCTAAGATGATTGCTTAGTTTGTACTATTTAGCACCACCTGAATATACAGCTTACTGACGTGAACTCTTTCTCCGAAAGCTTTCTGAAGCATCAGAGTCTATATCCTAGCACTAGTGAAGGACTGTAACTTAGTAAAGAGGGAGGCCACTCTGCATCCTGCCACAGGAACACATACCTTACTTTCTTCCACCAACTTGCAGATGAGGTTATCTCTGGAAACTGAAAACAAAAAGTCCACATGATGATGATGGTGACGTAGCACACGGAAACCACACAGCACTTTCCCTAGAAGCTTCGTTTGCTTTAGTCAACATTTCATGGAAATAATAACATGTATTTTATCATATTTTCATAGGCCTGATGCTAAAATACACAATTATCAACACAGCACGCCTGCAATCTCAGCATTTGAGAGACTGAGGCAGGGGGATCATGAGTTCAGGGCCAGCCTGGGCTACATGGTAAACTTGTCTTTAAAGAGCTAAAATTTAAAATGAACCTGGTCCACAGTTACTTTTAATGATAAATAAGGTCATATTTTATTCAATGCATAAATTATTCTGGAAAGGATATAATAAAAATATTTTTGTTAAGTTACTCTAATCAAGATTTAATACAATCAGGGACATACACACAAAACAGTAAGAGCCATTTTCCTCCTGGCTATGACAATGAAAAGGGAAGGGAAAACAGACTCATGAGAAGGAAGAGAGGGCTGTCGGGACCTGGGAGAGCATGCAGAGTGCAGAGAAGCACAGCAGGGTGAATGCTGGACTCTTCAGCTACATAAGGGCCGTGTGGCAAGGGGCAGACTTGGGAAACAGAACAATAGGAAAGCACGGACTCGACATTTTCCTCATGTTTTGGTGTCTCTGCCTGGCATCCGACTACAGGCGTCGAGTTGACAGCAGGGTAGGGGTCTAGAGCTTTGGAGGGTGATTTCAGGGTGAGGCCATGTTAAAGCACTGCCACATACATGCAAAAAGGGAAATGGGGCAGTAGCTTGGCACTGTCTATCAGTAACACAAAGATACATTTGAAATTAATGTTTGGACTTTATAGCGAAATTCAGAGCTCTGTTAGTGCTGTTATACTTCAATTCTAGAGCCAGGCAATTACAGAACACGTTAAAGACTCATATTTTGCATAGGATATATCTTGCAGAAACTGGTTTTTAAAGATGTGAATCCATGACTCACTAAGTCTAATTTAAAATGTGTGAAAAATGAAAAAAGATAAATGTTGTGATCTGTTCTGAAGTTATACTCAAAGTGTGAACAAAGGGAGAATGTCTATCTCTAGAGAACCATTATTTTAAGTTATATATTGTTAATTGTTAATATGCTTTTCTATTTTTAATATATTGAGGAAAACATTTAAAGGTATTTCTTTGTCTTAACCTAGCCATATAACTATTTGTACTTTAGGGTACTAAAACTGTACATAAAGAGTCAATAATAACAGTTGGTATTCAGGTGGGCTTCCTTTCCCTCATGCTATCTGGCTTAATCTTCATCTAGTGGTCTTCCACACATGCTTTACAAGATTAAAAAAAAAAAAAGTTAATCTAGGTAACAGAAAACCCGACTGACCAGAGTTCACACATGGAACAATCTACTCTGTGTGCAGTCGGTTCTTGAGCACAGTCCCCACGTCTTTTCACTGTGTGTAATGGGCATATTTTCTTACTTTCTAATAAAGTTGTTGTAAAGTGAAAATGAGGAAGAAACGTGAACTGTAACACAACGTTACAGTGCAGGTGTCCAATCAGAAGACAGTTATCTCAGGGCACTGCCAACGCGAACCTGACGCAGTGCCTGCCCACTCCGTAGCCCTGAGGGAGCGGTGGCTAAGGACTGTAGAGACCTTGGTTTACTCTTTTCTCTGCATGGCCTGTCATGTTTATTCTTCCCTTGGTGCTTTCTATCTTACTGCAGATAGCGTACTAGAGGAAACACTCGGCACACCGACAAGACACAGGATCCAGTTTTTCTTCTCTGTTTCTTTTGGAACTTGGAATGGCTGCAGATAGCTTTGAGCATTCAAAGACACAGTCTCTGTGAAACCTCTATGCAAACCATTACTCATGTGAGGACTCTCATGGTCTCTGCAGCGGAGATTGCTGAATGCTGCTTTATAGTGGCATACTGCAACAGCAGGAGCCAAGGGTTGATGGGCTTGAAGCAGCAGCAGGACTACACACCTAGGCTTGGGGTCAAGACTCTCCATTCGCTGCTCTGTCCTTTTGAGGACTAACCTGTGAAATGAGGGAATTGCTCTCAGCTCTCCTACAGGGGCATTGCAATCACCAGTCTCTGTGAATATGGGCTCATATTCATATATGGTGAATCTGGCTGCAGTAAGTAAGAACGGCCTCGTTTCCTTACTAACAGTTTATGGACACTTTTAAATCCAGTGTTTAAATGTTCTCACTGTACACACTTGAGTGGTCACGGAAGGGAAAAACTTAAAGAGAATGTTTTATAAATAAGAGGCTCAACCAGGCCTACTGGTACAGACCTGTAAACGTAGATGTATAGGGTTTAGACCAGAAGATCACACATCCAGACCTGGACAACTGAGTGAGACCCCATCTCAGCAAACACACACACAAACAAACCAAACCCAAAGAAGGCCACAGAGCAAGCTCTGTGAAAGAGTTTGCCTAGTACAAGTTAGGTCCTACCCAATCTCGTACCACACACACAGAAAATAAAGATCAAATTTTATTACCAATATTTACCTTGGTTCCAGTACCATATATAAAGGAGCCCAGCAATTTTTCACTCTGTACTGTAGGAAGTCCCACCAACCCTGGCCAACTAAAGAACTGTGCTCTCAGGAGTTTTTGCATACTTAGGTCAGAGTTGAGCTGCGAGGTGGCCGTCTCCAGCTGTCCATTCTTCTGCTGCTCCTGTGCCAGCAGTTCCTGGGTGGTTTGTATAGAGCTGTGCAGGGCAGTGCAGCTCTGCTGCAAGGTGTGCACCTGAGATTGTGTAAGAGAAACCATTTCTGTGAGGTAATGCGTGACCTGATAGAACACACGGAAGGTGCAATTTTCAACCTTAGTGTCACTGAGAGGAAAGGGACATGCCTGTATGTCCCAGCTGAAATCTCAGCAGACCACAGTTTCTTACTCAAAGTCCTGTCCAACAGAGCATCCTATGTACTCCTAAACACAATAGTTGCTAGCCACAGGAGGCTACTGAGCACATGAGGTTAGCTGGAGCAAGGGAAGAATTGCTTCTTTAGTGTTATTTACACTTAACTAATTTTGACTGAAATAGGACCTTTTATAAATTCCTTCAGTAAAATATTCATTTTTGATAATTCAATTGTCAAGTATAGTCATTGGTAAAAATGATAAAGATTATGCACTCAAATAATAAATACTAAAATGTGAATTTAAAGTATCTTAAATGCATAAAGATACTTCAAATAAATACAATGAAGGCAAAAATACCATGTTAATATGAATACGATAACTGAAAGCAGAAACATAAATATGTTCCTGGTTATTTTATTTATTTGCTTCAAGGGTTGGTCCCATTTAGTCTTTATTTTCTAACCAGATCAGATGCATACAGCATTAGCTAAGGCAACAACTTCCACAATCAGTGCCCATAGCAGAGACTGCATAGTACAGGAGGCTACTGTACCAATGTAATTCACCTCTTTAAAACCTGAGACAGATTCCCTTCTCTGGGCCTTGGCCTCCTCAGTCATGAATTAAGACTGTTGGATTAAATAGCAAAGCCTTTCTTGTTTTGCACTGTATTTTAAAGACTGTAGTAAGAATGTTAACAGGTTAGTAAGGAAAAGTACCTCAGTAATCCAGAGGAAATAACAAACTGGTAAGCTCATGGGGAAGGACGCCAGCTATCCCTTTTGTGGTTCACTTCTCTAACAAACAAGGACAGCAAATCTCTACCTGCTTCCGTTCTGCCTCCACAGTTGACCCCATTTCTTGTAGCTTGAGTAGCATGGACGACGCAGATTTCTCCAGAGATTCCCTGAAGTGCTTCTCCTGGGCCAGCTGTCTCCTTAGCTAAAGAGCAACACTGCAGTTAGGGGACCAACGGACACCACTCCACCTTGACACAGATGTAAAGTCACAGCGGTTTACAAGATACGAGACATGCTCGTCCCTCCCTAAAAATGGAGTCAAGTTTGCTACCCTCATCTTTCTGTGGGTGAAATCTGTTTTACAAATTGAGGGCCAAGACCCACTAGTAACTTACAAGCAGCACGTAGAAAAAGACAGTAGAAATGATAGTGCACAGCAAGTCTCTAGGATAAGCAAGCATCATGAAAATACCTAAGTGACTTGGGTTTATTGATGACTTTAGATAAAACACCAAAATTACCATCTATGAAAGACATTTTTTAATTAGACTTCATTAACTTTATTTCACTCTCTGAAAGATATTGCTAAGAAAATGAAAAGACAAACTGTAGACTGGCAGGAAATGTCTTTATAAATAAGACACATTATAATAGAGGACTAATATCCTCTCTTAATTTTTTATATGTCACTAACAAAATATCTGAGGCTAGATAATGTATAAAATTTTGAGGTTTATTTAGCTCACAGTTTTTTTGTTGTTGCTGTTGTTTGTTTTTTAAAGGTTTATGTGAGCACTCTATTTGCATGTATGTCTTTATACCAGAAGAGGGCATCAGATCCCATTATAGATGGTTATGAGCCACCATGTGGTTGCTGAGAATTGAACTCAGGTCCTTTGAAAGAGCAGCTAGCTAGTGCTCTTAACCACTGAGCATCTCTATAGCCCCTACCTCAAAGTTTTAGGAGCTAAAGTTCAAGACTGGACAACCACATATGTTCAGCTCTAGTGAGGGCTTGATAAAAGAAGCAACACAGTGGTGATATCATATAAGCAAGATAAGAAGCCACACATTCATGGACCAGGCTTACTCCTTTTAAAAATAGATCCAGTTTCCTAGGAACTAACTGGGATTCTATGAAAACTACATGACTCCCAAGGGTGATTATCCTCAATGAATTAGCACTTTCTACTAGGCCTCCCATCTCTTAAAGGTCTAACCACCATCCAAGACCACTGGGGATCTAGCTGTTAGCACATGAATCTTTATAGGGTACTGTAAAGATTTGTCACTCAAATTGGTTTAATAAAACACTGATTGGCTAGTAGCCAGGCAGGAAGTATAGGTGGGGCAACCAAACTAAGGATGATGGGAAGAAGAAGGGTAGAAGAGGAGTCACCAGCCAGATACAGAGGGAGCAGGGGATGAATGTGCCATGCTAATAAGGGTACTACCACATGGCAGAGCATAAATAAGGAATACAGGTTAACTTAAAATGTAAGAGCTAGCTAGTAACAAGCCTGAGCTATTGGCCAAGCATTTATAATTGATATTCAGCCCCTGAGTTGGTTATTTAGGACCTGGCAGTCAGGACAGAAAACATCCCTTTACATATGGTGTTCCAACATGTGGCCGAAATTTACACATAAAACCTGATAAAGCTTAAAAAAGGATTCTAGACACATAATAGAATCAAGCACAGCTTCTTTGGTAGCTGCCTTTTCTCCAGTAGGCTCTGTTTGCTGGCAGTGAGCACAGGTATGGCTCCTTTAAAAGACACATTTCTGACTCAATGTTAGTGGCAAAAATGGGTGGCTCTCTTGAGAGGCTCTACTATCAAACACTTAAATGGTGTTTATGAGCAGTGGGCTGGGTGACAGCGTAGACTCGAAACTCCCAGAGTTGGGGAGTAAACATGGCTCCCAGAGCTGATGGTAAGCGTACCTCTGCCATGAGACTAGGCTCTCAGGGAACCCAAGCGGTGTGGAACCAGCCTCCAAAGCCACTGCTTTGGTCCTAGCCATGCTGACTCATGTGGTCAGCAAAAGATACAGATGCACAATATGGATAGATTCAGACAAAAAGAGCCTCTGAATGGGTCACAGTGTGTTAAATACATGTAGGTGTGGGAGAGAAAAGAAAAGGGGTACAGAAAGTCCTTAAAAAAGAAATAGGGTAATAAAAAATATAATAAGTCACATAAAGATGGAAAATACACAAAGAGTCCGGATGCTATATGTCATTATGTTGTCTTTAAATTTTTTGATGGCTAATGCACAAATGATAACTGCTCAGAGACATTTGATTATAAAAGCTGCTGGATTAAACCAACCTATGTATTTAAAAAATATCTTGACTTCAAAATTTATATCAAAAGATATGTTACTTTGGGAAAGAGGTTCTGCTTTTACCGCCACAGGAACTGAGAGGCTCTGGATTCATTCTGGGTTAAGAAAAATCAGCTTTGAGACCCCCTGAAAAATCTCTGATGGGAACAGATGGCCCAGATGATCCAACATTTCAGAGCACCTCTGTTGCAGTTTCCTCTGAGTTCTGCATCCAGAACAGCTTCAAGGCTGTGGCTGAGATTCCAGCCTCACAGAATACTCCAGTCAGAACTTGACCATAATCTTAAACTTTCTCAGGGTCCCCATAAGATTAACAGGATCTCCCAATCAGCAGGAAGTAGTTTAGAGAACTATGCCCACATTCCCAAAAGTAAATTATGAATGTTTGTCATCATTTAGGGGGTTGGTTACAAGTTGTTATGGATAATGTTCAGGAAAAAGTCAAACAAAGGAGACTAGATTCAGGAATCTTGTTGTGAAAAGAAAAAGTGAAGATATAGAAATGATAGGATAAAAGGTTGATTATTGAATCTACTTTAATCCAAAAAAAACCCAACTATTAATCTTACATAGTTTACATTGGCATGAATTTTAGTTTATTGATACAAATTTAAAGTTAATTTTGTTATACTGTATGTATATTTCTACTCTTGTTTAGGGCACTATTTTTATGCAGGTCATTTAAAAATGTAATATATAATTAAGAAATACAGATTAATAGTCACCTATAATAGCAAACTTATAGTCATGCTAGCTAAGTTTTCAAGGTCATACAGAGTTATATCTCAGATGAGCAATCTTCAAACACTCAAAAACCTATAGAATATGGCATTTAATACGTTTTAAGAACTTAGACTTTGCTCAACAGTGATACACATCTGCTCCTGGAAGCACCAAACACTTCAAAGACGATGATGGACATCGAAGAAACTTCATATGGAGTTTGTTTTCTTTATGGCAAAAGCTTGCCATGCAGGCAAAGAGACTGCCCTTGCCTCAATTGCTGACAGTTACTGTCCAAACTGGACTAGCAGGATGTAAGAAAGGTGAATGACGAATTTTGCCAAGACAAGGTAGGACAGTCCTTCAAAATTCCCTGCTTCACAGCAAAGTCTGTCAGATACACTAGGACTGTAGGCCAGAGTTGGATGCCTCAACGTTACAGAGAAACTTTGGGTAACTATCCAGGCAGCCTGATATCCCTGTCATTAGGTAACATTTCACCTTTCTGGAGTCTTTGATAGAGTTGGAGACTAGATAGTTATGGTTTTCTTTTATGATAAAAGACAAATTAGGTATAAAACTTTGGACTCACAAAGACAAGATAGATAATAGCATATTTTCTCTAATTTTGCCAAATACAAATAGACTGGATATTGTAACTAATTTACTTGAGAACTGTTTTTGTTGTATATAGTCTTACTATGTTAAAGTCAAAACCTTCCTTTTTAATTAGACAAAAAGAAATGCTGTGGAATAATCCTCTTGGTACACTGTAAAGATTTTTCACTTGAATTGGTTTAATAAAATGCTGATTGGCCAGTAGCCAGGCAGGAAGTATAGGGGGGGTGACCAAACTAAAGATGAAGAAGGAGGAGAGGGGAGGAGAGAGGAAACTCTAGCCAGCCACCCAGGAAGCAAAACATATCAGAGGACAGGTAAAGCCTTGAGTCAGGTGGCAATACATAGATTAATAGAAATAAGTTGTAAGAACTAGTTAGTAACAAGCCTGAGCTATTGGCCAAGCATTTATAAGTAATATTAAGACTCTGAGTCAGTTATTAGGGAACAGGCAATTGGGACTGGAAGTGTCCATTTACAGGGTACCTTCAAATCAGACCCAAAACACACAAAGTAACAAACTCAAAACTAAAATTCAATTGTGAGAAAATAATCTAAAATATACTTGACCAATGGAGATATATACAAGAAAATAAGTATACAAAAAGATTCTCACATCATGTATCATTGGGGCATTCAACTCAGAACAAGATAAACTACATATTTATTAGAATGTCAAAAATTCAAGACACTGACACCAAACACTGAGGAGAATGTGCAGCAACAAAGATTTTCATTCTTCGATGGTAGAAATGCAAAATGGTCTCACTAGATTGTAAGATGGGTTGGTAGTTCCTAATAAAGCTAAATATGACTTGTATTACAACCCATCAATTATGCTTTGGGATTATTTACCCAAATGAGTAGAAATCTTTTTTTTTTTTTTTTTTACTGTCTTTTGGATTCCTTGGGAATTTCACAACATGCACCCCAATCCCACTCATCTCCAGTCCCTCCCTATCCACCTCTCCCTCTTGTAGTGTTCCCCAAAGGAAAGCTAAAAAATAAAAATAAGAAAAAAATAAACAATATTTTTTTTTAAAAAAGGAAAACTCTTCACTCCTCCATTCTCCCCACCTCTTCACTGCCTCTTCATTCATCTTAGTGGCACTGGGACTGCTGTGTGTCATGCATTCTACCCTTTTGTGCAAACAGCTTTACTGCTGGGTCCTACTCAGCCTGTCCAACTAACTGTCTTGAAGAGAGGAGTGAGGATTGAGAAATAACAGATGAAAAATAGAGATGACGTAGATGTAAAAGAAACAGATAGAGACACAGAATAGGTTTGGGAGAGCTTTGAGTCAATATCAGAGTTGCCCTGAGTTGATTACTCACAGCCTTTTTATACCCAAAACAAGGGGGACAAAAGACCTCCCCCTCTCAATGACATCATGGTTCAAAGTACAAACAAGTGTAAACACCTCCTTAATTCTCAAAACACCTGGTAACCACACCTTTGGTCATACATTCTGTTATCCAGTCTTGAGGAATAAAGACAAGTTTGACCTCTCTGACCTTGAGTCAAGATAGAAATCAAGCCACAAAGCTGGGCTCCCATACTTTACTTGCAAATGTTCATTGTGTAATGAGTTGTTAGTCAGGTTCAAGACCTCTAGCTTTGGTACACCATCAAAACTGGAACCCCACTGACATTCCTCTCCAATATCCTGCTGTTGCCCCTAGTCATGGAGATCCTGCAGTTATGAGTCCCCAGGATCAGTCCCTTCACACACTCCAGCTGGTCACAGATAAAGTAGATGTTGGGGTGTACCTACTCCAAGCCCTGGAAGTGTGCCTGGGTGGCAGCTGAGTTGCTCAGTCCAGGCTGCTGGGACATTCCTCTCAGGTGAGGGGCAGGCCACTGAGGTTGGCATGGTCCTGGCAGCAACATGTCCCTCAGAATCCAACATGGCCACAGGTGGTGACCCAGAACCCAGGCATCTGTGTGGCTTAGTGGCAACAAGGGCCATGGGCATCATCACAGATCCCAGCCTCTGTAGGGCCATGGACCCAGACATGGTCCTCAGAAGCAGCCCAGGCCCAGATGCCACCATGGCCATGGGTGGCAGTGCAAGCCAATAAGAGGAAATATTATGTCCATACACACCTGTAAGATGCCTGGGTGTTCGTTGATAGGTGAGGATGAGGAAACAGTGCTACATGTAATACATCACTATTCAGAAATTAAAAGGTATGAACTATCAGCCTTGGGAAGACATGAAGAAACTTTAAATGTACAGTCCAAAAGGATTATCTCAACTATACCCAAACCATATACACAATGCAAAGATCAGTGCTCATCAAGGGGCTAGCAGAAGGGATGAGTCTGTGTGTGGAGTACAAGGCATTTTTAGGGCAGTGAAACTTTGTGCTTGATCCTGGAATGGTGGGTACATGGCATGATAGATTTGTTAAAATTCATAGAAATCTACAGTACAGAAAGTGAATTCTAATGTAAACTACTGACTTTAGTGATACATAAGTATCATTTCATAAATTGTGGCCAAACTGCTACACTAATATAATGTTAGGAAAAAACTGGGAGTTTAGAGAGTGGGTACATACTTTCTGCATAACTTTTCTATAAACCAAAAACTATTAAAGTTTATGTTAAGATATCTAAAAGGCTCTCTGATGACAATTAGGGTAGTCACCAATCTGATTACAGTAGATGGCCAGTTCAGGCACCTTCTCCACTATTGCTAGGAGTCTTAGCTGGGGTCCTTGTGGATTCCTGGGGGTTTCCCTGGTATCAGGTTTCTCCCTAACCTGGAAATGCCCCACCCTCATCAAGACATATCTTCCATTACTCTCCCCCTCCACTCTATCCCCAAACCTGCCTCCCTCAACTTGATATGTCATGCTTTGTTCCAAGCCCATGGGAGACCTGCCCCTTTCTGAATGGAGACAGAGAAGGAGTGGATGGGGAGGGGGATAAGTGAATGGGGAGAGGGATAAATGGGAGGGGGGACAAGAAGAGAGGAGGGAGGAGAAACTGTGGTTGGTATGTAAAATAAATGAAAAAATGTTAATAAAAATTTTAAAATGTCTAGCCGGGCGGTGGTGGCGCACGCCTTTAATCCCAGCACTCGGGAGGCAGAGGCAGGCGGATCTCTGTGAGTTCGAGGCCAGCCTGGGCTACAGCGCGAGATCCAGGAAAGGCGCAAAGCTACACAGAGAAACCCTGTCTCGAAAAACCAAAAAAAAAAAAAAAAAATTTTAAAATATCTAAAAAGGGCTAAATTAGTCAGGGTTCTCTACAGAACAGAACTGATAAAATGAAATAAAAATATAGGAGTGTTTTAGTTAGGATTACTAATACTGTGATGAAACACCATGACTAAAAAGCAAGTTGGGGAGGAAAGGGTTTATTCAACTTACACTTCCACATCACTGATCATATGAAGAAATTCAGAACAGGAACTCAAACAGGGCAGGAACTGATGCAGAGGCCATGGAGTGGTGCTGTTTACTGGCCTGCTCAACAGGGCTTGTTCAGCCTGCTTTCTTATAGACCCCAGGACCACCAGCCCAGGGATGGCACCACCCACAATGGGCTGGGCCCTCCCCTCATTGATCACTAAATGAGAAAATGTCTTATAGCTGGATCTCATGGAGGCGTTTCCTCAACTGAGGCTCCTTCCTCTGATGACTCTAGCTTGTTATAGTTGACGCACAAAACCACCCAGTCGAGGCACCATCACTGGGGCTGAGAACCTGGGGTTAGTCAGGTCATAGTGAAGAACCCTGGACACTGCTTAAGGGACAGAGTGAAACTGAGTCCAGGGACTTATCCTTATACCCTGATCAGCACATCTCTAAAGCCTCAGAGGAGCTTCCTTCTGAATAGATGAAACCAACACAGAGACCCACAACTAATTCAACTGCTTTTAGCAGCCACCCCTTCCAGAATTCCAAACATTTAAGCTGACGTGAAGGTTTCAAGGTAAAAGAAGTGGTGTCGAGTTTTCCATCTTAACATAACTTATATTAAAATGCCACACAAAGGTGAAGGTTTTACTTAGCAACAGCCTGTGGGCCACCATATTTAGTAACTGTTTCTCTACTGGCTCAAAGGCGTTTGTTGTTTGTTGGGTTTTGTTGTTCCAGTTTCGGGGCAGTTTTAGCACACGAGAACATCTTTAGGCAACTGAGGGCAGACACTCTTGCTTCAGCTCTGTGTGGTATGTTTTAAGTGTTCACACAATGACATGGCTTCTTCTTCAAAGGATTCTTTTCGTTCTTTACACTTCCTTGATTTCACCTTGCAACCCCAACACCTCTCCAACCCCTCCTGTCTTCTCTTACCTCTTGAATTTTAAGGTTCATTTTACGCTTTGTGGTCTTCAGCTCCTCCTCAATAACAGCTGCATTCTTCTAGAAAGAGAAGGAGGAAAGATCTAGTAACCTGAAATGACAGGAAGAAACTGTCTCTGGGTGTATCCAGTCAAATCCAGTCTTTCCCCACCGGCAGCTTATAAGTGCTATTTATTCTTTGCATGTATGTGCAAAAATGAAATGTGTGTGTACATGTGCATGTGTATGTATGTATGGGTAAATGTGTGTATGCCCATGTATGCATATGCACATGTATGTATGTATGGGTACACGTGTGTGTGCACATGTATGCATGTACACGTGTATATATGTATGGGCGCACACGTGTGTGCACACATGTACATATGTATGTGGAGGTCAGAAGATGACAATGGGTGTCTCCATGGATTACCCTCTGCACTACACATTGAGTAAGGGTCTCTCGTCGGATCTCGGCCATCCTAGAATCCGCTAGTCTGGTTAGCCAGCTTGCTCCCGGGAGCCTGTTCTTGCCTTTTGAATGTTAGGGCTGCCTTGCTGGCTTAGAATCCATGTAGGTCAAGGGGATCCAAACTCCAGTCCTCATAATTGGACTATTTTTTTAAGATTTATTTTTATGTATCTAAGATTTGGCCTGCATGTATATATGTGTACCATGTACATGTCTGGTGCCCACAGAGGCTGGAAGAGGGTGTTGGATCCTCTAGAACTAGAGTTACAGAGAGTTGTGAACTGCCATGTGGGTGCTGGGAATCAAACCTGGGTCATCTGAAAGAGCAGTCAGTGCTCTTAACCCAGAGACAGAGACAGAGAGAGTTTCTCACTATGTAGATCAACTGGCTTTGAACTCCTAGAGATACAGATGCATTTTAAGTGCTGAGATGTATTTAAGAAGGCATACACCACCACTACCAGTTTCAAATGCTATTCATGCTTAGGAATTTAAAATGAAAACACACTTTTCAATTATTACTAGACATAAAGTAGATGTAATCCTAGAGATAAAGACTCAAGTTGTGGTTTTCTTCTTTTTTACCTTCAGTTTCGACCCTGTACTTAATTCTAGAATATCTTTCATAAAATATCCCTTCTCCCTTCAAAATGCTACCATTCTAGTTCTGACTATGCAGACTCATAAAAGAACCCAAACTGCTTTCTTTGCTACCAATCTCCTCTCCAGAGTCAGTACAGTCACATCTAGTTAGTCTCCTCTCCAGAGTCAGTACAGTCACATCTAGTTAGTCTCCTCTCCAGAGTCAGTACAGTCACATCTAGTTAGTCTCCTCTCCATAGTCAATACAGTCACATCTAGTTAGTCTCCTCTCCATAGTCAGTACAGTCACATCTAGTTAGTCTCCTCTCCAGAGTCAGTACAGTCACATCTAGTCAGTCTCCTCTCCATAGTCAGTACACAGTCACATTTAGTTAGTCTCCTCTCCATAGTCAGTACACAGTCACATCTAGTTAGTCTCCTCTCCATAGTCAGTACAGTCACATCTAGTTAGTCTCCTCTCCATAGTCAGTACACAGTCACATCTAGTTAGTCTCCTCTCCAGAGTCAGTACAGTCACATCTAGTTAGTCTCCTCTCCATAGTCAGTACACAGTCACATCTAGTTAGTCTCCTCTCCAGAGTCAGTACAGTCACATCTAGTTAGTCTCCTCTCCATAGTCAATACAGTCACATCTAGTTAGTCTCCTCTCCATAGTCAATACAGTCACATCTAGTTAGTCTCCTCTCCATAGTCAGTACAGTCACATCTAGTTAGTCTCCTCTCCAGAGTCAGTACAGTCACATCTAGTTAGTCTCCTCTCCATAGTCAGTACAGTCACATCTAGTTAGTCTCCTCTCCATAGTCAGTACACAGTCACATCTAGTTAGTCTCCTCTCATAGTCAGTACAGTCACATCTAGTTAGTCCCCTCTCCATAGTCAGTATAGTCACATCTAGTTAGCTTCCTCTCCCATAGTCAGTATATAGTAATATCTAGTTAGTTTCCCCTCTTGTTGTTACATGGATTCTCCATCAAAATTCTTAATCACTCCACACTGATTATCCACAGTGTTAATTATTCTTGATTTTTAGATGCTCTGCAATGTGAAATTCGCAGTACTCAGCTTACTTCCCACAAATTCTCACTCCAGGAAAGCTGGAGTTTAGATATTTTAACCCAATGGTACCCAGCAGAAAAATCTTAGTTATAGGAAGAGGACGAGCACATGATGATTGTGGACAAGAGACTTCCCTCAGCCCCACTACTCTCATTAAAATAGACTGGTCCATGGGAACAGAACAACACTGCTGGTGTCCTTTCTAAACAGCAGGCCTCTTTGCTGCCTGTGAATGTGTTCCCTGAGATGCCCTTAGCACTTTGCCTTCATGTCTGAAGGTGACTGATCTATACTGGCCAAGTTTCTCCTTCTCTCAAACATGCCCGAGTACAGTCTTCCTGTGCAATGTTCCCTCAGTGTTTTCTACTTAGACTTTTTCTTATTTAATTTGTCATGTTATGCCTTAACCTCCCAACTACCATGTAGCTCTGAAAGAGGACAGAGTTCAGATGCTCACTATCTTTTATACACAGCAGGAGGTCTACTGACAACACACACTGCTGGAGGTTATCAGTGCAGACACACTTCAAATGTCAAGAATTTAAGGGCCACACCACCCATTTGAAACTCGGTTTTCTGGAGCCATTGGCTCTCTGGAGCAGGGAAACTGCACTTGAGCACACGGAACACGAACCGTTGTCTCGGTGGCGATTTCCGAAGTGGCCGTCAGTCTTTGCACTTCATCCTGCGCCTTGTCTTCCCCCTCCTTGACATCTCTCAGTTGCTGGCGCAAATTCGTCACTTCCAGGCGCAGCAGCTTCAGGTCCATGCAGTGCTCCTCCTGTATTGTATTCAGCTGATCCTTCAGAAAGGCTACGTACAGCACAGAGGACAGAGCAGAGGGTGAGCAAGGGCCCAGAATCACAGAGACAGCAAGCACCTTCGCAGAACCGAGTTCTCTGCAGCCATCCTCTTCATCCATACCTGTTTTCTGTGGATTCAACTCCTTCTCAGTTTGCAGACGGAAGATGCTCATCTTCAGGGACTGGATGAGGTTTTCCAAATGGCACATTCGATTTACCAGAAACTCACAGTTCTTCCATAAAATACCTGGTTTTTCTGGACAAATTACTTCACTTGGGATAGGACTAGTGATTTTCTGGCTGGCAGAGTCTCCGAAAGAGTTTGAAGTTTCTAATTGACCTCTGGAAAAGCACCCCAAAACAACATTACATCATGCATTTTCTACGGTGGTGAAAGCAGTCATTTGAGCCGATGCACCACTCTAGCTAGAATGGCAGTGACACCAACGTGGTAGAACCTGAGGCTGCCGACTCCTTCAGACAAGAATGCATGAAATAAGCACTAAACACAGACCAGTTTTAACACAGTGTCAAGAACAAGATGAGACTCTTCCACATATCCACACGGGATGTTCAGAAAAGGCTGAGGCACAGTTAGATCCAACCCCTAACCAAGGCATACACTCAACAACTAGAACAAAATCTCTGACTTCCCAATTTTCCCTAAGGATAGAAGGACAGAAACAGGTGGGCTACATCACCCTAACTCTTACATTCCCTGAGCTTTGGCCCCTGAATTCTCCTGGCCATATGAACAAAGAGATTAAGAGTAAACATGCCTCTAGACCTCAAACAAAATGACAGTTCTAGAAATATGCACACTTCCAAGGACTTGATTCCCCAGGAAGAAGATCCTAAAAGGGATTTGCCAGTGTCCTCTCCTACTGCTGCTGACAAGTGAATTAAGTAGACCAACAACTGGGGCTCCGGAGCCTAAAAAGGAGCTCAGCACTTCCCAAGCCTTCTCTCCAGCTTATCCGACAACTACCACCAATCTACCTAAGGAGAAACTAGTTCACTGGTGAATGCCCCGTAAAGAAGGGCATTCAAATTCTCCCAGCTCTCTCAGTGGACAGGAAGGGACATTTGAGTGTTTGTAGCTCACACCACCAACAGGCTGTTGTAAACAGGAGTGCAAGCACTTCAGAGTCTCTACTCCTATGGATCCATGCAGACAAGGGGCTAGAAAACATAGCTCTTGGTTTCTACATTGAAGGGATTTCTCTGCACATGCTTCAGTGACCTGGCTCCTGGCTAACTTGCATGGGGAAGTGTGGTGGTTTGAATAGGTATGGGCCCCATAGACTCATGTGTTTGAATGCTTGGCCTATAGGGAGCTGCACTATTAGGAGGTGTGGTCTTGTTGAAGAAGGTGTGGCCTTGTTGGAGTAGGTGTGGTCTTGCTGGAGTAGGTGTGGCCTTGTTGGAGTAGGTGTGGCCTTGTTGGAGTAGGTGTGGCCTTGTTGTAACTAAATGTTTTCCTTTATAAGAGTTGCCATGGTCAGGGAGTATCTTCACAGCAATAGAAACCCTAACCAAGACAGAAGTTAGTACCGTGGACTGGGGTATTGCTGTGATAGGACTGACCACACTTTCCTTTGGAAGAATGTGGACTTTGAGAGCATGGATTAGAAAAGCAGTTAAACACTGTAGGGCTTAATGGGCCATAGTAGTGGAAACACAGAAGACAGTGGTGCTGAGGGTGATTTGAACTGTGGGATCTGGCTCAAGATGTTTCAGAGGAGAAGTTTAGTATGCTGCCTAGAGAGAGTCTTGTGATATTTTGGTGAAGAATGTGGCTGCTTTTTGCCCTTGTCAGAAGAGTCTATCTGAGGCTAAAGTGAAGAGATTTGGATTAATTCGTTAGTAGAGTAAATCTCAAAACAGCCTAGAATAGACTCTGTCGTGTGGTTTAATAACTAACGTTTTAATGCTAATGAAGATTTAGAATGAAAAGAAGCAAGCTAAGTAAATTAAAATACAAACTGTACAGACTAAGGAGAAAAGATTCACCAGGAGGTGGAATGAAGCTAAGTCCTGTGTTCAAGGTGATAAATAGACTAAGAAATGGAATATAAAGAACAGCTTAGGTCCAGTGTGGTGGTGCACACCTTTAATCCCAGTACTCAGAAGGTCTACAGAGCAAGTTCCAGAAAGGCCTAGTTTAGGCAGTGAAGGAAACCATCAAAAACAAAAGGCTGGTGAAGATGTCATTGAGCAAGGGACCATGTTCCCATCCCAGTAAAGGCAGTAAAACTTGGCAGCTTCGGCCATCTGGTCCTGGCTTTAGAGTCAAGGATAGAAGAAAGGCGTCATGGGAAGAAAGGGGTCATGGAATCTTCCTCCTCAACTACGTAAAGCTGCTGAGGCCAGCCATGTGTCAGGGGTGTCCCTGCATGGAGGCCTAGAGAGGCCACTGTGTGAAGCTGTGAAGGTGAAGCCTGGACTGCCCTGGAGACCCCAAGATGTTGGAGATGCCAGAGTCATGAGATACCTGCCAAGGGAAGTTGCTGACAGAGAGTGGAACCAGGCCAGGAGAGAGAAGTGTGTTGCAGTCAACAAAGCTAAAAGGAGCTGGAGATCTGAGAGCGATTTGACATCAGACATGGAGATGCAGAGTTCGGAGTTTTCCGAGCTGGTTTTCGTCTTGCTTTGGTCCAGTATTTCCTCACTATGCTCCCTTTCCTCCATTTTGGAATGGTAATGTATATCGTACGCTATTCTATATTAGAAGTATGTGAGCTGTTGTTTTGATTTTACAGGGGATTACAGTTAAGAGATTGCATGAAGAGACTTTGAACTTTGGATCTTTAAACATTGTTGAGACTGTGATAGACTATGGGGACTTTTGAAGTTGGATTAAATGCATATTCCATTATGTTATGATTATAAGCCTATGGGAGCCAGGGAGTAGAATGTGGTGGTTTGAATAGGTATAGTCCCCACAGACTCATGTGTTTTAATACTTGACCCATAGGGACTGGCACTATTAGGAGGTGTGGACTCGTTAGAGTAGGTTGGGCCTTTCTGGAGGAAGTGTGTCACTGTAGGGATGGGCTCAGTGTGGGAGTCAGTTCATTCCCTACTGCCTGTAGATCAACATGTAGAATTCTCAGCTCCTTCTCCAGCACCCTGCCTGCCTGTCTGTCTGCTGTCATGTTTCCCTGCCATGACAATAATGGACTAAACCTCTGAAACTGTAAGTCAGTCCCAATTAAATGTTCTCCTTTATAAGAGTTGCCCTGGTCTTGGTGTCTCTTCACCGCAATAGAAACCCTGACTAAGACAGGAAGTAACGAGGCAAACAAACCACAGACTTCCAACTGCCTGAAAGAAGCACAGTACTTTCAGCCTTCCCCAGCCTCACTGTGGTGACAGCTACAGTTCTACAGATCCTTCCTGAGATGAGTCCAGGGCTGAGTGTCCCCACTCTACAGATCCTACACAAAAGACTACATCTTTAGCTCTGGGACTCGATGGGGTTCTGCATTTCTGAATGTCCCTAGACTACCAAAAATAAAGAGGTGGACATGGGAGCCGCTTCCAACAGCTGTTTCCCAGGATCAGGGACAGTGCAAGGGACAGCAGAGACACCAGACACGGACGCTCTCGCAAGCCAGAGCGGACAACACACACGTCTGCTCTCAGCTTCACCCTGAGAACAGAGGAACACAAATCGAACAGGCCAAGCTTCCTAGCTGCAGTTAGGTGGCCTGTCCTTTTCCTCATCTGTTGAAAGCACTGACAAGCAAAAATCTTGTGATTGTTTCAATAAATGCAGGGGAACAACTGACAAACCCAACACCCTTCATAAACAACACCTAGGATGAATGCTCCTCAACACTGTAAAGGCCACACATGCCAGGCCTAAAGTTAATATCACAACTGCAAAACGCTGAAGGCTTTCCTCTAAGGTATGGAGTAAAGACTAAGACATCTAATTTCACCACAAGTATTCAACAGCTGGAGAAGAGCAATTAGGAACAGTTACAAAATAAAAGGTACCGAACTCAGAAAAGAAATGAATCTGTCCTGTCTGCCAAAGACAATCATGTGGAGAAGACAATACAGAGGGGTCTGGGGACGTGGCTCCCCCAAGTCAAGTGCTGCCTTGTAAGAGAAAAACCCATGTCCTGAGTCAGATTCCCGGCAGCCTTACAAAATGCAGCAGCATTCATCTATGACCCCAATTCATCTATGGCCACGCATGTGTGTACAGGCTAGGGGGCTGACACTAGGTGACTTCCTCAATCTCTACCTTAGTTTTTGAAACAGAGTCTCTCACTGAAATTGTAACTCACCAACTAGGCTAGACTGACTGGCCAGCAATCCTCCTGTCTCCACATACCCAGGACTGCAAACACTGATATGCCCGGCTTTGAGGGGCCTCAGGGGGATGGGATGGAGAATGTGTATGTGGGTGTGGGTGCTGGGATCTGAACTCAGGCCCTCATACTGAATGGCAAACAGTCTAGTCTCAGCCATTTTTCCATCCCTTTGGCTGTTTATTTTAATCTGAGGTTTAAAAAAAAAACCTTCTTATATAAATCAACGCAAAACATGTGACACATAAAACATGGTAAATACTAATTTTATAATGGTAACTTAGAAATTAAAGTTAGCATAGAAGCAATATATTTAAACATAATACAATTTCTTATTGTTTTATCAAAATACTCAGCATTTATACCAAATTTAATCTTCAAATGATAAAAGTAATTTATGTGCCATACAATAGCAACTACACTATTATTATGTTTTAATGTGAGACACTCAGAAAATACTTATGACTTTTCTAAAACAAATCACACCAGTAAATTCTATATTGGCTGCATAAACATGTATAACCTTTACTATTAACAAGCCAACTAGCTTTAAAACGACAACAATTCTTTAGCACTACAGGGGAAAAAACAGTTCTGTAATAGTTTCTCATTCTAAAGCATGAAATAGTTAAGGATTTCAAACCTGCCTTTTAATTTATAATACATATGAGAAAAAAAATGAAGTCCAAATTAAAGCCCTGAATCATTTCAGTTTTTCTTTTAAATGATTTCCAAATAAGATCTAAAATAGTGTTTGTGGCTATATGTTACGGCTTGTATATACAGTGCTCCTCATGGGCATAGGTACCCAGCTGATGGACCCACCCATGGAAAGGTACCAGAACTGAGTTACCATAGATGAGTTCACACTGAGAACACCATTAGGAGCTGGGGACTGCTAAAGGAAATCTGTCTTCTCCTACTTTCCTAACACTACTGTTTCTGCTGCCAGCAGGTACTAGGTCTGCTCTGCTAAGTCTTCTCTGCCATGATATTTTGCCTCATCTCAGACCCACAGTGACAGGGCCAAGCACCAAGAACTCAAACTTCTGAAACGGTGAGCCAAAAGCAAATCTTTCCTCCCTTAAGATGGCCTCTGGGGTATTTTGTTATAGCAACAAAGATCTGACTAACATCTGGTGGTGCTCTGAATGAGATTTGCCCGTAAGTTTCAGGCATTTGAATACCAGACTCTGGAATGATAGCCCTGTATGGGGAGGTTAGGAGGTGTGGACTTGGTGAAGGAAGTGTGTCACTGAGGGTGGACTTGGAGGTTTCCAAAGGCTCCTGCCATTCCCAGTATCTCCTCTGTTTCCTGGCTGTTGCTGAAGAAGTGCGCTCCCAGCTCTTGCTCCAGCTGCCTTCTGCTCTCTACCTCCAGTCCACCATCGTGGACTCACAGCCCTGAGGAACAGGAAGCCCAGGGAAGCCCTTTCTTCTGTAAGTTGCCTTGGTCAAGGGGTTTTATTACAACAACAGAAAACTAACAAAGACACTCTATCACAGAACGACAACTCTACCTAAAAATATGTCTGCGTCAAAGCTCACACGGAAACATATTTCCCGGAATTATCTGCCTCATCTGCTTTTTGCTAAGCATCAGATTAAAATTCTTCACACTGCAGCAGCAATCTAGTTAACTTTCTGTTACCGTTTGTCAGCACAGCCCAGCATCAGTAGGTCGTCTCTCAGGGAACTGGTCTGCTCCTCAACAATTCTCATCTTCTGCTGAAGTACCGTGAAAGTTTCAGAAGCTGTTGCGTTGACACGGGTTGGAGACAGAACTGGTCGGTAGGCTGTAGTTTCCATGCGCACCTAAGGTCACAAGGGTACAATATTAGCATGGGAGGGTCTCTTACTGTTGGAAACAGTCACTGGCCCTTCCTTGAGGGGATTATACATCCTGTCTTATTTACTAGCGAATAGATATGTGTCCTAAGTTTCTGAAACTTTAAAAGCCAACTTCTCATTCACCATCTTTTTCCCCCTCTCCTTCATAAGATAAGCAACATCTCAGGTAGATTTGTTCCATGAGTCAGAGTCCCAGAGTGAAACATTCATGACATAAAATGAGTGAAAAGTAGAACTGTGTAGCTGTGGTAAGTTATTGAGATTGTTAAGTACTTTGCTATCACATTACAACCTAGTCTACCCTATTTGCTTTTAGTGGTCACATAGTAGGGACCTAAGACTTCTGAGGGAGTTTTCTCTATTGTTACTACTTATTCCCATTATAATAGCATAGTTTATTAAGTGTCCTCCAAAAAACTGATGCTGAAGCCTTGGTATCCAGCCTGGTGGATCCAGTTATTGAAGGTTGATCTTGAGGACACTAACTTCATCACAGGGCTATCTTTGATGAATTTACACTGAATGAGCTATTAGGAGGTAACAGCTCATTAGAGGCAGCAGTAGAACACTGGGCACATGTCTGTCAAGGGCACCACTTGCCTCTTTTCCCACTTATCTCTCCCACTGCTTCCCAGAGAGTTCTGCCTTGCTTCAGGCCTACAGTGATGGGGCCAAATGACCACAGGCCCAAAACTATGAAAATATGAGCTACAAGAAATCCTTCTCCCTTAACCTGATGTATTCGACTTTCTGTTGCTACAACAAATCACTGAGAAAAACTTAAAAGGATGACTTACTTTGGCTCACAAACTAAGAGGCTTCATCCCAGCATCATGAGAAGGCGGTTGTAGAGCAAAGCAGCTCATAATACAGTGGCCAGGAAACGGAGAGTGAGAATTTCTGCACTAGCAGGCTTTCTGATTTCCTCCCCGACCTGAATTCAAGCTCCAAAACCCATGAAAAAGCTGGATATGGTGGCTGTGTATATATGAGCACAGCACTGGAAAGCAGAGACAAGACTCCCTGGGGCTTGCTGGCTAGCCAGCCTAATCTAATTGATAAATTCCAGGGCAAGTGAGAGATCCTGCCTCAAAAAACAAAGTGACCTGAGGCTGACCTATGGCCTCCAAATGCACACAAACCACAAATAGATACACTGTACAAACAAATAAACATAATTATTAGTTCACTGTTTGTCTACACTGAAGCAGCAGTGCTCAAAAACATCTTGCAACCTTATTTTCATAATATGAGCAAAAATTCTTTACAGGTATTAATGGCAAATTAGTCATTTCTTTCTCTCATATGAGGCCAAGTTTTCAAGGCTCTCCTGCAGTCAGCCATTGTGGTGGTTTGAATGAGAATGGCCCCAGAGGCTTATAAGTTTGAATGCCTGGTTCCCAGATGGTGGAACTATTTAGGAAACATTAGGAGGTGTAGCCTTGTTAGATGATTGTGTTACTGGGGTGGGCTTTGAGGTTTTAAAAACCTTTCCCAGTTAGCTTTCTCTGTCTCCTGCTTGTGGATGGATTTGTGAGCTGTCGGCCACTGCTCCAGTATCCTGCTTGTCTGCCTATCATGCTCTCCAACACAATAGTTGTGGGTTCTAGGTCCCACATTAAATACTTTCTGTTTTAAGTTGTTGGTGCTTTGTAACAGTAGCTGAAAAGTAGCTAAGAGGGCCATGCAGTACTTACATAGAAACAGAGACCTGGTTCACAGGCATCTTAGTCTCTGTTCTCCCTGCTATGATAAAAACACTCATATGCCAACAACTTAGGAGGGAAAAGGGTTTACTTTCTTCCACAGTACAAGGTACACTGTGCAAGGAAGTCAAGACAGTAGAAGCTCAAAACAGCGGGTAACATTGTTTCCATAATCACAGAGAAGAAACTCAGCAATTGTAAATTCTCTTTCTCCATTTTATAGAGTTCAAATATCCTGTCAAGGGATGGTGCCACTGTAGGGGACCAGCCCCCATACTTATTTACCCCAGGAACTCTTGAGGAATGAGGGATAAGAGACTTGGGGGAGGGGGGAGAGAGAGAGAACACAGGATAGACTCGGGTGGGCCTGGATCCTTATCCACCGGCCCAGAACTTTATTCCAAAGGTCTATTTATAACAATGCCAAGGGGTGGGGCAAAAGACCTCCCCCTTGCTAGTTACAGTCACCTGGTACCCAGGCCTGTGGTCCAATCAACCTCTTATGCAGTCCTGCTGGGTACAGCCACTAGGAAACCTAGTGGGCTCCAACATGCCACCCAGCCTTCTAGGTTATTCTAGATTCTATTAAATCAGTAACGCTAACTATCATAATTCCATTCTTGTCAATGTGACACCAAAACACTGCTTTAAAGCCTTCCAACAGCTCGTGACCATTTTATAGTATAAAATTTACTCAGCATAACTTTAAAAAGTCCCAATCCAAAGCCTCTTAACTGTGAGTTCCTATAACATCAAAAACAAGTTGTACACTTCAAACATAGAATAAATATTCCTATTCCAAAATGGGAAAAACTGGGATAAGGACAGGGAAGCAACAGTGACATTGTTTCTCCGTAAGGGACACTTGTGGAAAGGAATCTGCTTGGATACCTTAACCGGGCTGGAGGGCTCAGCAAGTGAGACTCAGTGACCTTCAAGTATGAAAATCTCATTGCAGAGGGAAATGTGCGATGAAGGTCTGTGCAAGCATTTATCTCAGAGGCAAGGATTAGCACTTGCCACACGAAGACTCAACGTTGGAATTATTGGCTCTTTTTCCATTTCCTACCAAGGGTTCTAGCTGCAGCTGAAAAGGGAAAGCAGATTTGGGGGATTTTAATCCTCTATCCTCTGATTGCTGACTCTGAATACAGCACAGCTCAAAGATTCAATTCCTGTCCCTGCTCACGGGCATTCCGGGGACAAGCATCACCAATGCTGGTGTTCTGGTTGTACAAGGAAGAGGTAAACAAACGACAGGTGGCAGGACCAGAATCCCTCTTAGGCCTCCCCTCAGCTCCCCAGTCCTTTCGAGTTCCATCAAAAGAGTTCAGAGGAGACAGGGAGAATGCAGTGTGGAAGGTAGGTAGAGTTTGTTATGAAGTAAAACAGAACGTGTGAGAGTGGACATTGACCAAGGAGCCACTGTAAGGGTGCACTCTGAAACAAACTTATCTTTAGGAATTTATTAGTAACAGGTCATAGGGTATCTGAAAACTCTCTTGCCCAACAACCACCCCCATGACACACGCCTCACCCCACCATGTGGAAACAAAAATCAATGTCAAGCTTCGGAGCCCTTGGAAGTAACTGTGGCATAGGGATGGTGAGCAATGAGAGGGCAGCCCTGGCAGTCACCAAGGAGACCCCTCAGTAACTGGGGGATGCTAAAGGAGTGTGAGATAAGGACTTGCGTCCAATACATTGTGTCCAATGTATCTGCTGAAGGGAAGCTTGAAAGTCAGAGTCTCTCACTTTTATTGCAGTTACTCATTCATCCCATCCTCTGGATCTGATAAGCCCAAACACGGCAGCACAATGCTATATACACTCCCACAATCCACAGTCCTGTGGCAGATCCTCTGAGTCACAGCTCTGTAGCTCAGGCTAATCAATTCTTTGCTTTTAAGGTTCTATTCATCTTTGGTTGCTAACATCCCAGCTAAAGGATAAAGAAAATGGGTACAGACAGTTATAGAAAAAAATAAATTAAATATATTTAAAAATAAAATAATAAAGTCTTTAAATAAAAGCTAAAGTAATGGCCGGGCGGTGGTGGCGCACGCCTTTAATCCCAGCACTTGGGAGGCAGAGGCAGGCGGATCTCTGTGAGTTCGAGGCCAGCCTGGGCTACCAAGTGAGTCCCAGGAAAGGCGCAAAGCTACACAGAGAAACCCTGTCTCGAAAAACCAAAAAAAAAAAAAAAAAAAAAAAAAGCTAAAGTAATGTAAAAAGAATAAGCCACAAAAAGATGGAAATACACAGGGCATCAGGATCCTGTATGGTGCTTTTTTGACTTAGGTTGGTTTAATTTAGCAGTTTCCATAACCCAATATCTGTGAGCAGCTATTGCTTTTATACTTTAACATTTAAAAAATACAAACCAACCTATATACTTTAAAAATGCCTTAACTTCAAAATGGAAGTCAGAAAATATGTTACATTGGGGGAGGGGCTATGCCTTTGTTTCCACAGGAAACAAAAGGTTATGGTTCTCCTCAAAATTAATGAAGATCAGATTTGATTGGGGAGACTTCCTGAAAATCTTGGTTATAGACATGAAAACAAAAATCAAGAAAGACTACAGAACAGGTGACATCTATGCTGATTCCTCTACTATGGGAACAGCTCTGAGACATGACAAATCTTGTTGGCTACAGAGTCCTCATGACTTATTATTACATACCATCCTTTCATATAGCATGGATAGAGGTTTGGTTATACAGTCCAAACAAACTTATAAAGTTAATAGATGCCTTTTACCTGGTCAAACATAAAACAAAAAATCATCTTTAACTGACTTGTGCAACTGCACATTCCATACTTGTGTTAATGCAGATATATATGTTACCTTTAAAAGTTTGTGTTTTCAGAAGGAAAAAAAACCAGACATCAATAAAGACAAGTAGTCTGGTGATCCAGCCTCTCAGAATGCCTCAAAATTCTACAAACAGAACAACTTCAAAGCTGCTGGCTGAGATGGTCCAGACTCACAAACTATACAGCCAAGACTTCAGATAAGCTCTACACTTCGCTATCACACAGAGACTAAACACAAAACAATACAGCTAGCTCTCCAGGACTTGACCAGTATTCCAATTTTCTCAGGGTCTCCTAAGGATGCCATTGCCACAAGACAACAGGAAGCAGTCTAGAGAATATGACACCCTCATTCCAAAGAGGTGGGGTGGGTGGTTTTGGGTCCTTTGGTGGGTTATGGATGTCTGTCATCATTTAGAGGGGTTGGTTACA